CTCTTTACATGATTCCTTTCATAACACATTCTAGTACACACCACTTGTGGACATGCGTCGATTTCTTATCATTCCCAGAATTTTTTCTTCGAAGAACTTTGTTTAAATTCTTCTGGTGGATTACTTCCAATCGACTTCTTTTATGATCTCATTTTAATCTTTTCTTGTTATGTCAAACACACACATTCTATGAGGCTACTATCAATATAAGAAATACAAAGCTAAAACACCATTGAAACATAGGAGTTGTCCAATGAGTTATTAAACTGTGGAAATATGAAGAATTAAACAATGTGTAGGGAGTGATGATGAATGCTAGCAATAAATAAAGAGAGTAAAGAAAAGAAGGACAAACGCAATTTATAGAAGTTCGGTCTCAACCAACTTGATTTACATCATCTCTTTTTCCTACCATTTGGAATTTTTTTTCACTAGATTGATCCCTTTCAATGCCTAAGAGTCAAACCTTAAAATCTTCATCTCGTTGATACAAATAGAATCTTTCACTTTAGCTCACTCTAAAAATAATATACAACACAGACTCCTCAAGAGATTTTCTCAACACAAGATTCTTACAAAGCACAAGAGGATACGACAAAGAGAATCGGAGTTTTAACTTCAAATCTATCTTTTTGGAATATGAATTTCAAATTTCAAATGATGACCAGGATCCATTTCCATATTTGAACGAGTCGTTGTCGATTACCAAAATTTTGTTTTCCTATAAGTTAAATTGGGAGTTAGGAGTTAGTTTAGACAATTTAACATAGTGTCCTTATAGTGTTCATATGTTTTCGAATGGATTTAAAGCCCAAAAAGTCCCCAAATGGCCTCCAAAAATCCCAAAAAAGGGGGGTCACACCCATAATCTGCCATGTGTTTCCGCCCCGTCAAATGTGTCGGATTTTACGTATACCAATTTATTAATTAATATCCAACGGTTACCTTTTCTATTCTAATAAAATAAATAAATTATAGTGGAAGTGTTATAAAATAAAATTTTTATTTCTGTCAATTTTATATTAAATTTGTGTCATATATAAATTGTATATTATCATTATGCAAATGAGTTATATTATAATTCTTTAATTTAATTTACTTTACTAATACTCAATTTATTTATTAATTATATCATAATATATTCACTTTAAAAAAAAGCTAAATCTTCTAAGTTGCATTATTGCATAGCATTTTCCATCATTTTATTTCTTCCGCTTGCCGCCTTCTTCTTTCAGTTGACTTCCAAATCCAACTAGGCAACCATATTCCCCCAACCCCCATCGGATCCCGAGAGAGAGAGAGAGTCTTCGCTTTCCGACCAGTTTTTTAGGAGTGGCTTCACCTCTTTCCTGCGCAGAGTCCATTCATTACTTTCTCCCTGTTCCAATATCTTCACCGATTCTTAATTCAGAAGGTCAGTCTATCTCCAACTATGACCATGATGACTCCTTGGTCGTTAGATGTAAGTACCCCATTCTCTGTCTCACCAAAGCACTCAATTTCACACGCTCCCTATGTACCTATTTATCTGCATACACACACACACACATATATATGCTAATATTCTTGCGCATGAAATCCATCCCCATCCCACCTTATCCATTAGTGATATTATGGAAACTGCGATTTAAATTCCTATCCTACTCTATGTGATTTGACATTGTGGAAAATTACCATTAGTTGATTCAACTAATTTTTTTGGATTTAAAATAGTAGGTACATTGCCAATAATAATTTTTTAGATTTTGAATATTTTCTCATCATATTGGGAGTGGTTACATGGATAATTTAGAGGAACTTGATTGGTGGTTACATGGATAATTTAGGCGAATTTGATTGGATGAAATCATGCTTTGTAATTAAACGAATTTAGATGAATTTGATTGGATTGTATGAAATCATGTTTTGAGGCCTAAAGTACTAAATTCAAATGATGCCTTTTATTTTTGGGTAAAAATCATAGTTGTTTCGTGAAATTTGTCTCCGGTTTTAATTTGGTCATGAACTTTTAATTTTGTCAATTTAGCCCTTCAACTATCAATTTTGTCTCAATTAAGTCCTTCTGCCCATTTCGTCTGTTAGATCACCCCGCAATGGATCAAATTGGGCTAATCTCTAGTTGATCTAATGGAGAAAATTGATGGAAGGACTTAATTAATGTGAAATTGCAAGTTGAAGTACCAAATTGGGACAATTGAAAGTTTAAGAACCCAATTGAAACTAAAGGCAAATTTTAGGGACCAACTATGATTTTTACCTTTTATATTTTAATTATAACGTTAATTTTTATTCAACTTTTATTCTCATCGCTGTTTGAGATATAAAATTACTCATAGAATTTTTGTATTTAGGATTTACAAACAATTTTTTTTTCCACTTGATAGTTTGACTAATCCATTTAATCTTTTCTATAACATAGTCGATATCAAATAGAATTTTATTGATTTTTGGTTTTGAAAATCTTTTTATAGAAATAACTATTATAGGTGATGGCAACAATGTGCTATAAAAATTCCAGTCTTTATACCAAGGTTTTTAAATTCAAAATCCTATATCTGATTTATGGAAGAGGCTAAAGGATCATGATTGTATGACCGGGTTGAGAATAATATGATCAAACAAACTAATAAAATGAGATGAAAAACATATATAACAACACAAAATGCTTGAAAACAATAATTAAATGATCATAGTATATGCAAATATAAATGTATGATAAACATAAAACTCAAAAGGTATGGTTAAAATTCCAGAAACTACAATCTGAGCATTCTAAGCATTGAACTAGGCTGAAAATCAAAGGTAGAATGTTCATCTTGTGAGTCAGACTGAGACAGATATAGATGAGAGATTACAAAGTTGAGAGACAATTGAATAAGCAACTTTTCAAAAGATAATGAAAATAACAGAATATCTAGCTATGATTGAGGAGATCAAATTTAACCGTTGTTTCAACTTTTTAATGAGAGCGACAAACAAATAAAGAGAGTTTTCTGTAATAAAGAGAATCTTCTATAGTTTTTCTTACCTGCTGAAATATGTTTTAGGAAACATTCGAGATCAAGTTAATATTCTATTTTTTTTTAATTAAATAGAAAATCAAAAATAATTTTTGAAAATTTTCAAACGTACTTTTTATTGAAGAAATAGTTTGCTCTACTATATATATGATACACTTAATTAGATGTATGAGACATAAATACGGGGATTATAGATACCCCTAACGTTCCACAAACCAGGGTCACACGACCCAAAATAGTGTGGGTTTGCGATCAAGATCTCTAAAAAAGTTGTGACCCCAACTTCTAACTCAAATCGTAAATTAATTCATTATTTAAGTAATCTCATATCATACCCCAATCCTAAATCATAACTCTAACTTGTTATTTCTTTATTTGAGTGTTCTTTAAACTCATATTTTGAGAACATTTATTAGAAGTATAAAATAAATATTTATTAACTATGTATATATGCATATATTGTTTTATTTGGAAGTTACAAAACGAACCATGCCCCAAAATAGCCACCCAAGTTTATGCCCATCCTACCACTTATTGGAAGAAGTACTGTACCATGTACCGTACTACGTACCAAATCGATCTTGTAACATTGGTATGGGACTTCCAATTCTTTAGGATCCATTACTTGTTTATTTAACAAACTTTCACCTAAACTAGTTGTATCTATTGTTTGTTCCTAACAAACTTATTAGGTGATTAATGTTGTCATTTGGCATGAGAGAGATAAAGAGAGTTTAGTAGGCTTTTGTATTTGATGTGACTGTTCGGAATATGTTATATTAAATATGATTTTGAGACCTATGGGTGGACTTTTGGGCCAGGTCAATTTAAATTTTTTTAGTCAAACTTTCATTAGGCTTTTTATGGATTTAAATTTTTGTACTGGTTCATTTTACAATTATATGGAATATGGGGACTTTTTTGTGAATGAGGCCTAAAGCAATTGTTTCACTTGCTTTACTATTGGTATTTGTGCGTGGCGGGAACAACATCTCTCTATACAGGGGTAAGGTTGTATACATTTATTAACACTCTCAAGACCCTGGAGGCGAGGGCTGGACCTAGGCATAGGCCACTACAATGGATGCCTAGGGCCCCCAAAAATTTCAGCCCCTAATATATTAGGCCAATGTTTGTTTTTCATTTTTGAGCTGTAGATAGACTCCAATCTTTTAGAGCCCCAAATCAATTTTATACCCTAGCGTTGTTAGGCCCAAATGTACTCTCAATCTTGAGTTTAGTTAAGCTCGACAAATGACCTAAAAAAGGAACTCAAATTTGATATTCCTAATTGTTGCCTACTTGGCTTATATTCTCTACCCTAAAAACAAGAAGACTTCTTTATACACATTGGCTTTCAACGCCTCTCTCTCTAGATGCATCTTAGTGGCTGAGTCCTAAAATTCCTCATCAGTGAACAATCTATAGCAAATTTTTCATCTTGCACATGTGTATCTAAGTATAGAATATTTATTTTTGTTCATTGTATAGAAAATTGTATATTTTTATTATTAAATACTTGATCTATTATTCCAGTAGCCAGATTATTCCATTGTGAAGATGGAATGGATTAGCTATTTTATGTAGTGTGAAAGATTTATTGACAAAACTTGAATATTAAAATTTAATTAGTATTTTTGCATTTCAAAAAGCCAAAAAAAATATTTTAAAATAAATAAAATTTAATTATGATAATTAAAATATTATATATATATATATATATATATACGACTATACTAAATATTAGTAGGGTCCCATATAAGATTTTCGCCTTGGGCCGCATTAGGATTGGATGTCCCTGGTGACATCCTTAAATGAATCCTAACTTTGACAGGGCCACTGTCAGAGGCCTTGTGCACTGAAGTGCCATTTGAGGCATTTCGTGTTTTGATTAAAGTTGTGTAAGAAGCATTCAAATTTGAATGTATTAAGGAATTTAATTGAGCTGGAAAGGAACGTTAGAGTTTTCATTATAGGCAAATGGTTTCCAGATCAGAAGTTTCTCATCAAGGATATGAGGGTTGTAGGTACACAGTGTGTTCCACAATCTGGGACTGCATGATCCTCACTTGGGGGGGGGGGGGGGGGGTTCGCAACTTAGATCATCTAAATTGTCAATCACCAATACCATTATCTTCTATTATTTGCAATTATTAACCAGTACTTTTATGGTTGTTGGTATCTTATGATACACTATGCGATAAATTTTGGTGTAGGAGTAAAACAGTACGTTTTGTATAAGTATATTGTTTTACTAGGTACCATATAATACATGATACGTATCGTACGATAATATTCAATAGACGATGGATTACAATACGCGTCGTATAGCTTTAATAAGAAAAAAGTAACAAAAAGAGAAAGAAAGGTAAATGTCCTATATAACTCTATATATTTTTAAACTAGCGACAACCCCATGCGATGTATGGATATGTATCTCATCACTTTTCACTATTTTCTTCTCTCTCCTACCCACTATTTAAGGAGTAAAGAAGTCAAACAAATAATTATAAAAACTTAGGAGTGATAGAAAGTATTTTTTAAAAAATATTTAAATGAGGAGTTATTAGTTAGTGGAGGGGTGGTTATGCCCATGGTGAAATGGAATTGGGTTGAATGCATTAAAATAAATCAAAATTCTAAGGATTGAGAGAATAGGGACGGAATGTCTCCCAAGGCATCTTCCACCTAATTTGTTTGCTATATAACATAGTAAAGATTTGTTGTCCACTTCAATCATTGCAATATTTTGCATTATTTGTGTTGGGGACCAAGAAATATTTTTGTCAATTAATAAAACTAAAGGAAATAAGTAATGAAAAAAATAATAAAGATAATGAAGATATACAAAAGGTTGAAAATGATAAAGGAGGTAAAGGCTGTTGGCATTCAATGATGAAGATATAAATGCCATTGAAATCGAAGATCAAGATGAAAATGTGATTCATAGGACTATAAAAATGGATTGTTTTGGATTTCGCTAATCTTTAAAAATTAAAATTGATGAATTATGTTGTAAACTTGAACGGATACATTTTATTTTGAAACTTGGAGTCCTTTTTATTATTGTATGGAGTTTAGGCTGAAATATTATTGATATTGTTTTGAAACCATGTATATATGTATATGTGTCTAAAAGAATAAGTGTATCATACATCACACGAGATATTACGATCCTCGATACACTATTTTAAGAAAATGACATGGATTACGATACACATTTTGACAACCTTGGGTGCATTAGTTTGCTTGTTTTAGAACTATTACCATTGATATAAAATTAATATTAATTGACTACAATTGTATTGGTGGACAATAATATATAATTACATTAGATAGTAAAAGCGATTCGAATACGAGTTCCAAAACTATCGCTACCCATAACAGCTTACTAACTACGTCCATCCCTGTTGCACTGCATGCAAGAAAGTATCACAGCATATACCAAATCAAACCCCCTACATATCACTTTGTTTCTGACTGTGAAATTACGTGTGTGTACCAGCAAGAAGTGCACTAGGAATTCTTCGATATCCGCAGCCTTTGGAAGCTTGTCAGACTATGCAAGGTTTGTTCTTATGCTGAAGTAACCTACTTTAAATTAAATTTCAACACATGTCTATTATAATGTTAGAATTAATGGGTGCAATGAAGGGGTTTTGAATCTGCTGTGTGTATTTGATGTATTAGTAGTGCAAGGAAAAACTTCTTCTACAGTGAAAAACCAAGCACTTGATGAGCTCCATGGGTGTAGCTTCACTTGGACGGTGGAGAGGTTCTCTAGGTTGCTTGGTGAGAAGTTTTATTCCAGTGTATCTGTTGCCGGTGGTTATGAATGGTAATTGAGTGCTATCCAATTGGTTTGAGTTGCAAAAGTCTTAGGTGTGCGTTGTTAATAACTCTGATTGATTTGGGCAGGAAGACAATTATTTATCCAGGTGGGGACCATTTTGTGATATACATAGAAATGGTGGATTCGAGAATGTTGCCGTATGGGTGGAGTAGATATGCGAGGTTTAGCTTGGCTGTTGTTAATCAAATGCAAAGCAAGTTGACAATACGAAAGGGTATGTTCTGCACAACTCCTGCTTATGCAGTTCGTTATTGTTACTGTGTTTACGACATTAGTTATTGTTGAGGGCTGTTGTTTTTATTTTTGAAGTGATTAATGTTTTCCCTTACAAAATTATGGATAATGCATTTTGAATTCTTCCTTTGTTGACAATAAATTTTTAGGATTTTAATATCTGTAGAGAATTGAGAAATCTAACTTGTTTCAATTTAACTAATAGGGATGGTGTGCATAATCTGATATTTTTTAACGACTACGTAAGAAGCTGGAATCAATTTTTTGGATGAATGTAAGCATTCTTGCTGGAGCGAAGAATGAATTAATTCAATCAAAGTTCTTCCTTTGGCGTAATCATCGATTAGAAAGTTTAGATTGTATGAATCTATATTGGTTTGGTACGTACAATGGTATTTTTTTCAGTATGTAAAGACAACATATATATTGGGTACACAAAAATGGCGTCTTTACTTGTAATTTTACTTTTTTCTTTTTTGGTTTCGAATTTACTTTGTACATTTGGTGGCTACTGAAGTCACATCAGTCTATGGAATGCAAGGTGGTATTAATGTTTGTGACGATTGCTCCTCTGCGGCAAAATGCATGCTTTCATTTGAAAGCAAATCTCATTGCTTAAGTGAGATGTGCAAAAGAACTTTTCTGAATGTATATCGAAGTTACGAGAATATATTGACACCCTTTGGATTTATTTTTAGATCAAGTTTCCTTAAACATAGTACACTTATGTTCATTATGCTAAATTTTCTGATCTGAAAACTCTCAGTTTTGTTTTTTTATCTTAAGATATCTTAGAACAATAATGAATTGATCACCAATTGCAATTCAATTACTTGTTAGATGGACTTTTTTTAAAAAATACTATTGAATGCCTCCTACCCCGCAGCACAATGTGCGGGTTTTAAAATAATAGGGAGAGATGAATGTAGAATAATTTTTCTTATAGGATGAGTTTAAATGTCACTTGGTTAAGTAGAGTAAGGTGTGCTGTCCTGTGGGGGGCCTTACAATTAAGAAGCTTGGTCGTTTCAATCAAGTTTTACTGGGGAAATGTGTATGGCTTTACGCTAGAGAGTAGGGGAGCTTGTGGAGGAGCATTCTGGGTGGGAGGTTTGGCTTTGATCCATACTGATGGTGTACTAAAAAGGTAGTTACTCTGCCTAGCATGGGGTGTGGAAGTTTATTTCCTATGGTTGGAATGAGTTCTCCAGGCATATCTCCTTGAATATGGGGGGTGATCGGAGGTTAAAGTTTCATTAGATGGTGTAGTGACAAGCCACTCAGGAATAGATTTCAGCCCTTGTCAAATTGCTGCAAAGGAGGAGGCCCAAGTGCTTGATTGTGCAGTGATTCTGGGGGAAAATGAATCGTGTGGAACCAGGTGCTTCGGAGGTAGTCTAAAGAATTTTGGGATTGAGATGGACGTATTAAGAGAAAATAAAACATTGAAGGAAATAAATGAAAACCGATTTGATAGACAAAAACGAGATAAGCAAAGTAACTTACTATTGACAAGAAAAGAAAAGTAGCATCCAATTATGTACCAAAATTCTTTAGTATAACTACCATAATTTTTTTGATCAACATAAGTACCACAATGATATTATAAATTGTCATAATAACACACAAGCAAATATATTCAATTTGATTCAAAGAATTAAATCTAATATGGTGTTTCAGTAAACAGCTCCACCCACATCTAAAATTGGTTACTGGCCGCAGCATTAGTGGAAGACCTTTGAGGAGAGAACTCATATTAACAGATACCAGAGATTGAACAAGGCATTAATAGTTTGTACATATATATATACATATATCTGTGTCTGTGCACACATACATATGCATGCATATGTGGCCACATAAAAAATGTTGTACGAAGGCGATAATGGCTTTTTGGCCAACTAGAAGATCACTTTGGCGTCGCAAATGCTGCATTAACTTGGATGTAACTTGCGACAAAACATGAGGTTAGAGTTGAATAGCCACAAATAATTTGAATAAGGATGGAACCTATAGAAGACTAGTTCAAATTTTGTTGACCGGCTATGGTTGATTGTAGGGCGAACTTGGTGAAATCAACAAAACAATCACTAAGAATTTAAGTGGCTGCAAATGGGTAGTTAGTGTACTGAATTTGCTGATTGAAACCTATTTTAGTGTATTGAATTGCTCATTGAAAGTGGATTTCACCTGCAATTCCTCAAGATATTATATATACATCAGGAAGAAAACCTTTAGGGATATCACTGAAAAAGAAAAACAAGATAAATAGGAATGAATCACTACCTTTAGGCATATAATGGAAGATAAAAATAGAATGTGGGCAAAGAGGTAAATTAATGAAACATAGAAGAATGATGCACCATAGTTTTTATTATAGGCAGAAGAACTGAAGAAAGATCCATAGTGCATCAAGCATTCAACTTCCATTTATTAACTTAAGTTTTGTTTTTAAAGGAGTAATCCAGTGAAATAGCGTTTAAAAAGTAACAAGTTAAAGCTATTTATCGAATTAAAAAGTATTAAGCAGAGCTGTTTGTGTAGACAATATATTATTTTTCCTGAATCAGTTTTTCATAGAAATTCCATAACAATCTTTAAATCCATGATCTTAGTTAGGCTTGGGGTATGTGGTGTATGGCATTCCCATTTCCAGTTCCCCATAGGTTAACAATATGCTTTCCAGATAACATTTTTTTATTAAATTACTTTTTAAAAGCAGAAAGATTTCACATGGCATCATAAATGCTTGATTGACATAATATAATACAAGGGAACAGAGGACAAAAACTTTTGTATCTTCTAGTTCCTACTGTTCCAATTTCTGATTGATATCTTCTTTGAAGCGTAAAAAAATTGAAGAGAAAAAGGGTAGAGAAGTGATTATAATTTTTTGAATTGTAAAGGGCATATGTATGGGTTACTTGCTTTTTGTGCATGACACTGCTGCATCTCTTGCAAGTTGGTAGAGAAGCATGTAACATTGTTCCTCCAGTGAAAAATTAATGGCTAAGGGAAGTAATTTGCAAGAAATTTTCTCTTTTCCTTGGGCATTTCAGAACGTAAACTTAATAGTAATAGAACAGTTCTAACTTTTTTTGATAGGATACAGAAGAACAGTTCTAGCTCAAATCTGATTGCATACTGTTCCTGCATAGACTCCTTTGTCTAAGCTTGCTGCATTGCATGTCTCTCTTTATCTGAAAGAGGAACTTTTTGACTTTTTCTCAACTCACAAAATCTTTTCTCCTCTCCCATTGTTCATGCATCAAATTTGAACTCTTGATATAAGAGGAAAATCGCTCTTAGTTTTTGGGTAAATAGGAAAAGGGCTCTTTTACTTAAAGAGAGGAGTTATTTGAGTGCTTTTTTGTTCATACTGAAGTAAAATACACACATGCATAGAAGAGACAATTAATGTATCCACTTGTTGTTTTTATTTGCACATGCATTGTGTGTTCCCATATTTGAATTTCAAACCTAAAGAACTTATCTGGGTCTTATTTTGAGATCAAATTCCTAATCTATTTATGATTAGTGGCATAATATTAGAAACTAATAGAAATATTATTCATATCTTAATACTAATTCTTGTAGTCTGATCCATGATGCTTATGAGAAATAGGTAGTTACCTAGTGATTCTATTGCGGGTTCAAGGGGTTATTAGATGGAAAAGATGGAGGCTGCGTGCAGCTTCAAAAAATGGGTCATTATCTACACATTTTAGATCCTTGACATTATTTGCTTAAAGTGGATGCTTTCAGAATCAAGCCATTCTCGCATGCTCTCTAGCAGAGTTTTGTTTTTGCACGAAGCAATGCCCTTTGTATGAGACGCTTACTGCTTGAGACTATGATTATGTGGTTGGATTGTGGTTAGTGAATTCAGGGCTGGCTTGATAGAAATTGAGGCTCTAGGTGAAAGCCTGAAAGGTTTATTAGAGCCTTTTTAATTAGCATGTTAGTGATATCAGTGCAATCTATCTAAAAATACTTCTTCTCGCTTTTTGAGATACAAAGTTTTTATATTCAAATTTTACTGATATGTCCTTTTTAATGGATAATATAAATGATCCAATTAACTTTCATTCTGACAGTTTATCCAGAGAAGGATTTTATTAGTTTTAATTCTGAAAACTTAGCAACTGTACTGGCATCCTCAATTATATTCTGAGCAATTCATGAATAGGAAGTCTAATCATTTTATAAAGTTCATACTACGATTGCAATGTTATATTCTGTTTGTAAAATTTTTATTAGACTATTAGTTCTCAAAAACAAACTAATCCATAAGGTACCAGAAAATTGAATATGGTTTAGAAAATTCTTAACATTGAGATAATACTTTTTCTAGTTTGTGATATCAAAGAAATGAAAGCAATCATTTGGGCGACAGGGAACGAGATAAATAGTGAGGGACAGACTAGCGAGAAGATGCTGTTGAATATTTGTTGTCTTGGGATTGAAGATGTTGTTGAATGAGACTGTAGGTTAGAAGATAAGTCTTTAATCTATATCCTTGACATAGGTGGATCTCAAGTGACCAATGGAGAAAAAGTTAAATTAATTAGGGCTTGTAATGCTGCTGACAGTGTTTAGAAGTACTAAGTTTTGAGTTATTTACAATGGTGAGGTAGCTTGCAAAAGTGGAATGAATTACTGGGAAATACTACACAGAGAAGTATATAGCTCCTCCAACTTCAAAATAATTGGAGGATTTTCCAATTTCTTTTTGAATGGTGAAGATCTGTCTACGTCAACAATTTAGTTTATTTTGAATTTTGAAGTTGAAAGTACATTTTGAATAAGATAAGGTCTGCTCGCATGGGCAAATTCTAACCGTTGAAAAGGAATTGGAGGAACACCCAATTATTAAAAAATTGGAGAGAAGTCTAACCCACAAAATATTTTCCAGATTAAGAGTTACCTCTTATGTCGTAACAGAAGACGACATTTTATTCGTTGGATGAGTTAAATAGAAGGTATGATCTAAGAAGCATGGACATGGACACGGACACGGGACACGAATACAACATAACTGGGACACGTCGACACGACATTTCTCAAAAAAGTAGGACACAAACACGTTGAGGACACGCTACAAAAAAAATTACATTTTATATATAACATTATATAATTTATTACAAATATAGTGATAATAATATACAATTCATAAAAGATTAAGTATTTTATGATAAGTAAATCTAATGTCCGGTCATCTTTGTGAATTTTTAGACTAAAACATCTTCATAATAGTCAGTAATCATCAATTTTTTTTTGTAGACAATGTGTACCTAATATATAATTTAAATAATTGCTCTCATTTTCTCAATTCCTCTTTTTTTAAATTTTTATGTATCTTTTATTTTTATTATTATATTTGGAGTATAATTTTAACATGTCTAGCATTAGTAATGATATATTCTAAAATTTTTAAGTTTTGTTAATCACATTTCAACACATGTCTATTGTTTAGTACTAGACACGTTCTAAAAAAGTGTTGGACACGTCACAAAAAAAGTGTCTTGACACATGTCCGAAATTAAAAATTTATCATTTAATTATGGATACAGATAAAAGAGTATCGAACACGTGTCCGAAGAGTGTCGATGTCTGACACATGTCCGATACGGATACGCCACCTTCTCGAGAGTGTCTGTGCTTCATAGGGTATGATAAGTGATGGTGAATTAAACGCGGGAGAGCAGAATGGGATGTGTATGAATAAGGTCTCACGTGAACTGCTAGGCTTGTGGAAGTTAAACTAAGATTCTTGGGGAATAGGGGAAGGTTTGCACAATAAAACTATAGTGGTTCACCAGCTCGGGGCTTGGCAAATCCACTCTTTAATGGAGTCTCTTGCTCCTTGGATCTATATTCCTCAAAGCAATTTAAAAAAATTTTCTCTTATACCACTGAGTTGGCTCCCCCATGAATTGGAGGCGTTCTTTGATATTTATAGTCTAATTCCTAATTTTATGGGATCTCCAGCGAGATCTTGGCCTTCCTTGCGAGGGACTTCCCTTGATTTTGGGAGAAGATCTTAGGTAGTTGAGAGTTTTGAGCTTTGATTATAGCTTTCTGTTGCTTCGGGGGCGCCTTCCAATGACCAGCTATTTCCTTCTCATTTTCCTTATAGCGTTCTCTGAGGGGAGCTCGCTGAGGGGAACTCAAGGTCTGGATCGTGGAGTTTTGGCCATTTCATCTGACCTCCTTGTCTGACCTCCGCACCCGAGTTCATACTAAGAATTTATTCTAGGCATCATCAATAACTAATTAAAAAAATATGTCCCTCAATCAATTGGGGCCCAAAGCAACCAACTAAGTTTTTTCACAGTAGAGCCAGCCCAGATCGAATTTTGACTTGATACTATGTAAGGGGATTGAATTTGTTTGTTTTGCATGACCCAACTTTTGCTAAGAGACTAGCATAATTTTGTTTGTCCCAAGTGAATAAGCGTCTTTTCATCCATCTCCCTCCCTCCCTCCCCCCTACCAACCCCATGCAACAAAGAAAAAAATAGAAGCATATTTGGATCATGTATCAATTATGTTTTAGACTTGGTTTTGGTTTTAATCATTTCATCCGAATTTTGCGGAGGCACAACACCAATTCCATGGAACTACCAGGATTTGGGGCTTTTCGCGGTTCATGACACGTGATGATCTTCATGATTCCCGTAAAGGATATATGTTGAAAGATAAAGTTATTATTGAAGCTGAAATTCTTGAAGCTGATGTCAGTGTACTTGTACGTAAGATCTTCACGGAGACTGTTTGTGTCCCTGAGCAACCAGTCACTGGCACTGAGGCAAGCCAACCACAACAATCAAAGGACAAGCAGGTGGCTGGGTGTGAAAAGGTTCCCCGGGCCAAGAAAGAAGGTGAGGCAGCTGCAAATGTTAAGGCTGCCATTGGGAAAGCTCAAGCGGTTGAGACTATGTCCTTTTCGATCCAAGGGATACCTGAGGTTCAAATTCCAGATGAGGTACCCTATGATGGTCCTGGGAATGGGTCAGACTTGGTACAATGGCTCAACTTCATGGTGCAGCGGAGATGTGTTGCATACTTGAACAAGCTAGTGGAGCGGTACCCTGACAGCCTTGCTCACTTTAGCTCACGGAGCCCCCTGGTGCAAGCTGGGCATTTGGGGACTCTGGCCCTTCTCCTCTACACCGCTGATACTATTCCTGTTCGAGCGTGGAGCAATGCTCTTCATGAAAGATTCCTTTCTTATATAGAAGACTTAAAGGAAGCTCATGTTGAGCTCCCTTGGATTGTGGAACGTTTTGCTTTGTTGCTTGGCCTAAGGGTGAGGTACCTTGCCAAGATTGAGATGGAAGATGGAGAGCTTGAGGCAGAAAAACTGAGGCAAGAGAGTGCGGTGCTTCAGGCTAAGCTAGGAGTGCTTGAAGAAAAGATTGCGGTGACCAAGGCCACGATGGAGGCCAAAGAACACTTGCTGAGTGGTGTGAGTTTTGACTATGCTTCAGACGATCCCATACTGTCTAGGCTTTTGTAGTTCTCAAGACCCCTCCCCTCCAAGAACTCTCCTATCTTCCCCTTGTCTAAGACTAGTCCCCTGAAAAATGTCCCTCCGCAAAACCCACCATGCTCTCTTGGACGTCCCGGGGTGGGATATGTGTCTGTGTAATGTATATAAATATATACTTTAATAAAGTGAGTTGAATTGATGACCTGGTTTGAATGAGGTGAATTGTTATGTCTAAGTGCAGTGATGGATTGGGCATTTGATTTTGACCGTGGGTTCACAATCTTATTGTCTCACACATTCTTAATGAAAGGTGTGGGTGGGTGTGCGAAAAACAGGTATATATTTCGGTAAAGAGGGTTGACTTAGTTTTAATGAGGTGAATTGAATGCGTAGTAATGGATCGCAGGTTAGGGTTTGGGTTGTGGGGGAATTGTTGGGAAACACAGAAATAGGGGAAGAAGAGAAACTGCTCCATTTTAAATTGTAAAAAAGTCGGTTTGAGTGATGTTTTTAACTTAAATTCAGTCCAATTAATGTGTTTAACCTAAAGACATCAATTGAACTAATGTTTTTAAAATTGCTTGAGTTTGAAAAATATTTTTAAACAGTCATTTTCCAAATTACTCTGGTTTGATAAAAACTCGACTAGTAGGATACATTCAATTGATAGAATCCACTAATAATCTAATGTCGTTTGAACCATTTGGAAGGTTAGGAACCAGAAGGTTTTTACTCGAGAAGAGCTCAATGCCCTTGCCACAATCTTAAGAGCACAGAATTCGTAGAGTGAGGTAGTTTTAATTGAAGAGAGATCACTGAGAAATTTCTCAAATAAGTTTAATCAAAGGGAATCTCATGTTACCCAAATACAACAAGGTGTCAAACCGAGTTGCAATGGAGCTGTCAAAGATGGAAAAGCTGTTGTAGGAGTCATACCAAGGGATGTTAATGAAAAGGTCCTGGACGGAATTGCAAAAAAAATCCATGCGGTATCAAGTATTCAGAAGCTGCTACAGTCAGGCAAGCTTGTCTCTTGCACATACTTTATAGCTACAGCTACGGTATGCTACTATTGAGAGTGATAATACTGAAGTAATCAAACTCATTTCTCAGTGCATTTGTTGAGGATATCAGGCAATTTGCTAGTTCTCCTTAATCTAAGGTTTTAATACAAGGAAAAGCGCTTAATAGGGCAGTTCATTGGATAGCAGCATCTGTGATGTCTTACTCTCTATCTTTGAGTTAGGTCAACTGTCCTTCATCCGAGTCTATGACTTTTTTACATTTTGATTGCAATTAATTTTTACCTACTTCAATGAAATTATAAGTTTTTCTAATCAAAACAACAATAACTAGGAAGTTCAAAAAAGAAACATTAACTTAGTAATTGATGATACTAGGAAAGAATCTCAAGTTTGAGCTCGGGAGTTGAGGTCAAAAAGGGAGCTCAGCTCATGGAGTTTGAGCTCAAAGGTCAGACCTGGAATTCCCTCCACCTGCATCCTGAAGTAAATAAATGGAGGACAACTGGCATACATGAGACATCCTCTCAACGGTAACTAGCTCCAATTTAGGCACAAAATCTTCAAACCAACACAACCGTCACCTAAAATCAAGCAAAACATCATAGAAGAAAGAAAGGCAAGAAGCTCGTCACAGATTCCATAGAACCAGGAATTGGACTATAAATATATTAATGATTAAATGTGTGTGGATGACACACAAAGATTAAATGTAATATATGTATTATTTTATATTTTATAAAAATTGGGGTCATACATGATGGACTATTAGTATATATTTATAATTCCTTATAATTGAATTATTTTACTATTTTTTTATGATCTTTAACTTGTTGATGTATGCAACGTTCACCTATTATTTTATTGTGTTATATTTTTTTCGATAATAACTTTATTTAATTTTTTTTTTTTGATATTAATTACTTTTTGTTGTGGATCCTTTTATGGAAATAACCAATTTAATTAGTTGGTGTTTATATGTTTAAATGTGAACAAAATAAGATTTGAAAAAAATAGAAAATGTGTGTGACTTATTTTTATTTATAGAAGAGAGATAACGTATATGTGTGACGTGAATTATATTTTTGAATCTAAATTTTAAATTTTATTTTATTCATTTAATCTTCAAGTAAGACTGTTCAAATTTTCCCATATCTGACCAATATCGATCCTACCCAACATAATTGATCGGCTTTCGTAAAAATCGGCCGGCTAATGATTTTTTTGTTTTAATTTTTGGGATAAAAATACAAAATACTCATAAAATGTTTGCATTCCTACCCGATCCGATCTGACTTAACCCATATGGATAATATTTAAAAAAAAAAAATATATATATATATATATATATGTTAATGTGTGCACAAAAATCCTATAATTTCTAGCGCATCCTTCTCTTCGAGTCTCGGAGGCTGTTGCCTCTTTATTGTTCTTCTTCTCAGTCGATTGATCCCTAGCGCCTCCTCCTCTTCGAGTCTCAGAGACTCTCGCCGCCTTCTCTTCGAAGCCACAAGCCACACGCATCCCAGGTTCTCTCTCTCTCTTTCTGTATGACAGTCTCTGTGAGTCTTATTTCCTTTTGTTTTTCTGAAATTGAAATCATATGATTAGAGTTTCAGGATTTTTTTTGTTAAACTAAATTATAATGAGTTTTAATCATTGATCTATTGTTTTGAATATACTGTTGAGCCGGCCATGTTGTCAGCTTCTGCTAAATTGTCTATATTTTTGTTTTGATGATAAAAAAATGGCAACATTTAAGATATGTGTTTATATACACCATTGAAGTTCAGTTTAGTTTAGTTTATTAACCTCATAAATTATTCAGGTTGCTTGTAAGATTTGCACTCCAATGATTCCCTTGTCACGATATAAGCATTCGAGTAAAGTACTTTATGCTAAGCTGGGAAAAAAAGCCAAACCCCAATGGGTTAGTTTAGTGGTAACTCAGCCCCGTGATAAGGACCTTAACAAGATGTAGGTTAGGGGTTTAAAAATTTAAATATCCCACCAGCGTGTACACCCCCTGGGACCACTGTCCTTAGACTTACTTCCCCGTGTGGAGAGATGACTTTGAACAGGGGTCCAACAGTGGAAAATAAAAGTAGGCTAGAAGACAAAATTGAAATGTAGGAATAGAAAAGATGTCTTCCAATATATTAAAACAATGCCTTAATTGCTTAGTATCTGTGCAAAGATGAAGTATGTAGATCCATCTTTTTTTCAACAAAAAATCTGAATATTCTCTTAGGTTTTGAAATAAAGGCACTTGGTTCTTTTCTGGTATTTGAAAGTTTTAAAACACTGTTCAAGTGCATAATTGGGTGATTAGGTCAAATTTCATTCTGTAATGTTACAGATAGAATGGCCGTGAGCTATGATTTTCAGAGCACAGCTGTTTATACAGCCGAATCCCTTTTCAGGATTTGGATACCTGAAACCATATGGCTGTTGTTGGTCATATTTAAGTTTGGTAAGTGTGCCTTGTTTGGTTGGAGTTATCTGTTTCATTTTGTCACCATTCAGATTTTAGTAATTCTGATTCATTGTCACACATAGATCCTCTTGTGTGTGCCTTTCGTTGTATTTGGGAACATTTTTGATGTTGTGGATCATTTGGTTGTGTATATTCTTATTTACATGTTGCAATGAGGTTTGTTGACTATTCTTTTACTAGTACTTCAATAGGTGCTTATTTGAATCTGGTAGTCAGGGTTACCTTAGATTAGTCTGTGTCACGAATTAGGTATTGAGGAATTCATTGTTTTCAAGACCTGTTGATTTGTTTATGTTCATCAAATGATAAGCTGCTTGACTTTATTGTGTCTTGTTTATGAATTTCCAACAATTTCACGCAATATGGAGTACTCTTATTTTGTTTGTTCTTTCAAATATCTCTTCGAATAAAAAGTTGGATTTCATTTAAGTTCTTGAAGGATATGGACCCTAATAGCAGTTCACTTGGAATAGGTTTCCGCAACTTCGAGGTGATTCCAACTGGATGAGACATTCTTCTATCAGAGATATGTTGCTATGAACTGCATACACATTGGAAGAATGCTACTGGAACTGGAAGTACATAAGGGATTATAAACTTGCATTGTTGCTGACAGTCTTGAAGGTAACAGGGTACAGGTGTTGTGAGGTTGTGTACTTCAAATGCAGGCCACCGTTAGCGAAATCTCTTCTCCGGCTCTTCACAAATGGAAAAAAATTGCCTATGGAGGGATGCAACCTGGGTTTGATGACAATCACACTGATGAGTCTTTTCTTGAAGCAATGGTTATGAATGCTAATGTTGTTAGACGCGATATGCTAAAGGTGATGCTGGATTCAGTTTCCATCTCTGAGTATTTATGCATTGTTGCTCTTGTGGTCTTGGTTTGGACATACACTCTTAGATCTACATTTAGTGACAAATCTCTCTTACTTCTTGATGTAAGCCTTCTTGGGTCAGGTTTCTTTATTCTTCTTCTAACTATAGAAAGGTTTTCCTTCAATCTTCTTCTCAGTTATGTTCTTAAAATCTCTTTTTTCATAACTGGTTTATATGTATTGTCTCCTATCTACCACACACTCACCAGGTCCATAAGCTCAGATTCCATATGGGCACTAACTGCTTCACTTGTTGTACTCCATCTCTTCCTGCATAACTACTCGGGATTCACTGTAAAATTTCCTGGGGCTGTTGAAAATCCAACCTTTACAAGCAATATCTCTTTAAATGCTTCTGTTGTGGCTTCACTTTTGATTGCTTCTCGCCTTCCATCAAGGCTTCATGTTTTTGCTATTGTGTTATTCTCCTTGCAAGTTTTTCTTTTCGCGCCGCTGGTAACTTATTGTATCAAGAAATATTCTTTCCGGTTGCACCTGTGCTTCTCATTTGCATTGATGGCTGTGACATTGGTTTGTGTCTATAGGTTGCACAGATTGCTTTTTGTGTTCTTGTTGGCTGTTTTGGTTTTTGTTAATTTGCTGTGTCCTTATTGGCTGATAAGGATTCAAGAATACAAGTTTGAGATAAATGGTCCATGGGACGAGGCTAAGCTTTGTTTTAATATAGCAGAGTGAAGTTATTTCTCTAGCCTCATTAGGATAGTCTTATGACTGTAGCATCCTAGCATCATCTTTTGTACGTTCCCAAGTTCCCAAGTTCCTCTCTCTCTAGTTGTGGATGTGGGAGTTGTGTGTGGATTATTTTATTATTTTTTTTTTTTGGAGGGGGTGATTTAAAATTTTCGAATTATATCCACTTTTGAGCAGTTTCTATCAGATTTGGTCATGCAGTGTTCATATTCATCTGATTTCTGTATGGTTTTTCCCTTGATTGTGGTATTCTATTGTTGCTCATTGGCTCATGGGGTTAGTCTTTGATGTATATGGTGGGTTCACGGGTTCACGGGATAGCATGTAAGGATTGGTAGTATAGTGGTTGTCCTTCCTTTAATTTCTTGAAGAAATCTTATTCTGTTGAAGTAGAATACTTTAGGCCTATATCATTCTCTTAACGGGTTGATGGTAGGTAATGATGTTGTCGTCGTGGCAATGATAGCTATACTTATTTAAGATAATTAATGACTCTTTGAACTAATTTGATTGATATTATCAACATGTTAATGATTCGGATTAGGGAGGGTTGATGAGTTGTCTAAAATACTAAATTTAGGAATAAAGTAACATTACTTTTTTTTTCTGTTCTTGAAATACCAACTAAACAAGTGATTTTTATCCAATAATAACACAATCCATTTAATTTTCTTGTTACTTGATCATGTCATTTTTGATTCCGTAGTATCATGCTCGTGCAACCCGAGTGTTGAGCTCCTAAAATCCATCTGGAAAATCAGTTAAATTAACCGAGGACTTCCCTGAAAATTCCTAAACTGCCAAAACCAAAATACTAATACAAAATCTTATATAGAATACCACTACTGTTTTCATATATGACAGTAAGATGCATGCATTTTACATTATGTAGCAAAAATATATCATATTATGCATTCCACTCGACCAAAAAAATAAATAATAATAAACTGAAGTTTCTCTTTAGATCTGCAATTTACAGTTTCTTTCTGCCCGCGTAGGATTATACAATTGGACTTATGCCTCAAGTTTCACAAAGGGGGTGAACTGTATCAATGACAAACCATTTCAAGCGTAAAAAATGCACAACAAACCCTCCATCTTCTCCTAAAACTAGTAAATAGGAATAATGAGGACAAACCCGTTTTCAGAAGCACAAAATTTCCTTGGGTGTGTCCTTGTACAGCTCGAGTACTTCTCATAATGTACCATACCATTGGGGAAAGTTGGATCACAAGTTTTGAGAAATGACCACACAGCTCTCCTCTCCCTAGATCCGTTACCAGTTGCATGACCAAGAATTGGCTCCGGTAAGATCACAAGCTAAGATGAACAACAAATGTTACTTTCACATGTAAGTTCACCGACGGCCTCTTCCTCTGCTTCTCCCACGACTCCCTCCTCTCCCACGCCCGGGAAATCCTCCTGATCTGTCGGGCTTCAGCCTTAAAGATTGGACTCCCCTTCTCTTTCCTCGTCGTGTTTCCTTGTCCTCCTCATCCTCTTTGTACCTTGCTGAGCTTCTAGAAAGGAAGGAAATCTCTCGCGACCCTCCTGATCCCACCTTAACATCCTTAAAAGCACGTGAGCCCCACTGGTCATTTGTCATAGCTGCCACCCTCTCTCCCAATGGAAGAGAGTCCTCCTTTGCAAGTGATGCCCGGTTCCAGAATGCTTCCGCGTGCCGCTCATCCTTCACTTCGTACAATCTGCAGGTTTTAATTTAAGAAAACAAACATTATTTAGACAAATGAGGGTAAATATATCTGTTTTCTTTATCACTGGAATTATCCAACTAGAACTTGCGTAAATTTTCACTTCCATTTTTACTTATCCAAGTTCTCACGTCCATTTAGGACACTAAAATCCAATGATAAAACCATCATTAGATCTCCGCCAAAATTAAATAGGCTACAAACAGATAAAGCTGCTTAAATTATACCCCCCCCTGGAACTATCTCCGGATATTTCCACATCAATTATCGAGTCCCAACAGCAAGTTGAAACTTGTAACATAGCCTATATTTATTCAAGTGCATGCATCATATGTATGGTTATCCAATCATAGTACCTTAATTCAACAAAAACAGGCTATGGAGATCTCACCTTGGAACTCGTGCTTTCTTTTGAGATTTAGTGTTGTCGGCGGCACGCTCATCTTCTGATGATTGAGAGGCTACAGATGCATCAGAATCACTTAAATTCTGATCCTCGTCTTCCATGATAGGCTCAAAATGTTCCTCCACCAAAGATGGTTGCTTCATGGACGCCATAGGGTGCAAAGATAGATACTCTTGTGAAAATTCATCAATTTCAAAATCCTGCGTGGTAACAAGCATCAGAAAGCATATTGATAAAATCTTATATTTACCATACCAATCAATGAATTCATTATGATCCAAAAACTTGGGGATTATCACTCATTTACAGATTATTGGCCATTTCGACTTCCCATTTTTGTGATATTTTAACTGTTTTTACAATTATAACTACGTGGAAATCATCAAATTTATTAGCCATTTGAAAGGGGTGTTTTGACCCAACAGAACAATTTGTGATACCTTATTTTCAAACATTGATGCAAATCGTTCATCTTTCAGAACCTCACTGGTGAGTCCTTTCTTTTTCTTGGATGCTTTCTTAGTATCGACACTATCATCATCCTTCTTCTCATTTTCAGCTTCTTCATCTTCAAGAATACGAGCTGCAAGAACCCGGTTAACTTTTGGCAGTTTTCTCTTAATCTGCAAGAAAAACAAGGAATACGAGAATTGAAGTTCCATGGGTAGCCAAAATTTGAATATTCCGACTTCGACACACTATTAAAATAAAAGTTATACTTGATGTCCACTAGGAATCAGTCCCTCACCCCTCATTTGTTTAGAGTTGCACAATAGATCAAGTAAATTCATCATCTAATTGTTCAAATACTAATAGTGGAAATGTATCATATTCAATTAGGATATATTAAGGAATATAACTTCATTCCTGCATGTAATTTCTAAGAAATAAGGAATTAAAATAAATGGAGTCATAAAAAATTATTTGAATGGCAAGTTCGTAAATTACAATTTTGATTTGCTTTCCTTTGACCTGAAGACAAGCAAAGGGCCACAGAGGAAAAAGAAATTGTAACTGCAAATGCATAGGACAAGTTGTCTTTTGTGGCCATAGATAGGACAAAAACTCTTTTTGAGTTTTTTTTTTTTGGCAGTTTGACCATTCTTCAAGATGCCAACAAATTGCCAGCAGCACCAACAGAAACTTCGTAACACGTCTTCAAGCAGAAAGATTCCTCTTGTTATAGAGATGAAAAAAGTACAAATGTAAGATGGGCATGTACAGCATATGACATACTACTACAGAGTTGACTCATTTGTCACTTTAAACAGAATGAGATGAAATTAAGGTAAAAATAATTAAAACAGAGACCATGAAACTTAAAGCTAGAAAAGCAAGTTTCATCTGATTAAATTTTTGACATTCACAACTCATGGTAAGCAGAAAGGCAGAAGGAACCTGCTTCAATTATACAAATTAAACATCCAGATAACAGTGAAATAACTAAAAAAAGGTCGAGTCCAAGTGCAAACAAAAACCAACTTTGAATTGCCAGATTCTCAAAGCTTTAGTGAGTTCAACTCTTATCGTAATTTTTATGGATAATTATATACCACCAAGGGAATCCCCTATCTTTTGCAGAAGCAATGTCCTCCACATGCACAAACATTGCAGAGGAGACAAGTCACTTTGGTGTATCAGAATTTTAGTCCATACCCCCCCCCCCAAAAAAAAAAAAAACAAAGGTAAATGATAAGGCATTGAACAAATTTTTCGAGTTTTTGAATTTGGAGATATAACATTCGGATAATGTATTAGGGGGTGTTTAATAATACCACTTAAAACTGAATACTTTAAGCACTTAATGAATTAAATTCGTTTGATAACCTAAAACTCATACCATTTAATATTTTAAGCACTTCTTAAAAAAAAAGCTAAAATTTTAAGTAGCAAGACACCTACTTATCATTTACTGCTGAAAATGTTAGTTAATGAATAAATATACCCTCAAAACATTTTACACTCTTAACTTTTCAATACCCACCATCCATCACCACCATTGCATTGCTGCCGCCGCCGCTGCCACTGTCATTGTGCCACTACCACCACTACCATTGTGTCACTGACACCACTACCACAACCATCACTACAAATGTCATCACCACTATCACTATCACTATCATCATCACTATTGTGTTGCCGCCACCGCCACTGCTATTGTGTCGCCACCATTGCCACCACCACTACTATCATTGTGCCACCGCCACCATTGTGTCACCGTCACCACCACCATTATCATGGTGGTAATAGAAATAAGGTAGTTACGAAGAGATGGTTAAAAAGAAAGGTAAAATTAGAATAATAATAATTTTTAAATTTCAACTCCTTATATTTGTCAAATAGTTCAATTCAATTCAATACTTAAATTTTAGTGGATACCAAACAAACTGCGAATTATAAAATTCAGTACTTAAAATTTAACATTTAATTTTTGTGTTCAACTTTCAGTTTTATCAAACACTACCTTTGTCAAATAGTTCAATTCAATTCAATACTTAAATTTTAGTGGATACCAAACAAACTGCGAATTATAAAATTCAGTACTTAAAATTTAACATTTAATTTTTGTGTTCAACTTTCAGTTTTATCAAACACTACCTTAGTCTTTAATAGAAGGATATGGCGTTGTGCCAGATCAGCACCACTGTGCATTGAAGGGTTGTTTGGGTGCATAGGTGTGGATTAAGGAGTTATAATAGATTAAAATTCTATAATCCAACCTTACACTACATTTGATTATAAAAAATACTCTATATTAGGAATAGGCTTATTTCATATACGTATAAAATAAGTTTACAAATAATATTCTTTATCCATATTGTTGAGCTAATTTTAATAACAATTGAAAATGTGGTATTATAATTTAGCTCAACCGTATTAGGTTACAAATTTACTGGTTTACCCACCAAACAGACAATCACAAGGATAACTAGACTAGATTGATGATATATATACATATATTATGTATACATTAATTTTGTATAAAAATACAATAATAAAATATGTATTTATATATATTTTTTTAAAAAATTAAAAATAAAAATTTTAAATTAAAAAAAATATTTTTTCCATCTTAGTTAGGGATGAAAATTTTCAACTCAGCACGGTGACACGACTCGAACTCGACACTAATTTTATGAAACAAACTTGATTATAACTCGACACGAACTTGAAAATGACCTGACACACGAACAAGATATATAAACGGCTTATATTCAGTTCAACCCATCAAACTCAAAATTGACACCATCAATCCGTTTATTTAAAAATAAACACTTTCTCTATTTTCTCGTTTGTATGGTAACACAAAACCAACATGTTTAACTAGTATTATAAGCACAAAATATTAATTATTTGTAACAATTTATTAAGCACTGGCATAATTATTAAATAAAAAAGATATTTTTACTTATTATTATTATTATATTTATTTAAGTTAATTTTTAGTTTATTTATATTTATTTAAGTCAATATATATTTAGTACTATAGGATAAGTGAACTAATCAAATAAGTTTAGACTAAATAGCGCCATCATCCCACTCTTAATCCAGTGTCTTACCAAATGCGAGATTATAATGGCTAGTATTTAATCTCGTATTTTATCCACTTATACGAAATTAATCTAGATTACCTAATATAATCCTTTCTTTTACAATAGGACAACCAAATGGGCCCTAAGGCCACTTATGGAGACCATTATGCATAGAACATGCCGATATGACTTATTTCATTACATGGAACCGTAAATCCATTATCAAAAAAGACCATAAATATGTGGTATGCATATTTTCTGTAATATTCTGTGATCATTCCCATTTAACTATGTTTGGGGTAATATGAGATCATCTCATCAATACCAATTCATAATCCGGTCAAGTTATACCCAAACCAATATTCATCGCCACCATATGAAGACAGTTGCAAAAACTAAACAATAAGCACAATTGCAGTCTACCTAGGATATGAGTGTTTGTATACCCTAGTTCGTGGTCGATCAAATGTGAAGTGGTCCAATAAACTCAAAACACCTAACAATTTTAAATGGTGCAAAGTACTAACCGTAATTCGAGAGGCACGTTCGGCCTCCACTTTCTCCTGCTTCCGCCGCTCAATATAAGCATCATATGCAAATGGATCAGCCATTGCTTGCGCCTGAAAAACACACAGAACAATATAAATACCAATAGTGAGTTCTTTGTATAGTTTCAGGAATGTGCAATGTTGTACCGGTGCTCAGTGGATCACACCCATTACAAACACATTTCAACACCTTTCCAAATTTCCAATCACATGTTTTGCAGGCCCAGAAATATTCCCTCAAAATATTTCTAAACCACTCAAAGGTAACTTTGAAAATAATAAATAATTGAAAAAGAACCAAAGTTCCCCCTATAAACTATAAGTGCCAGTAAAACGGTCTCTAGAGGAGAGGATTTGGGAACTATAATTGGGTATTGTGTCATTCCATGAACACACACACACACACAGATCATAAAAGAAGGAACCATCACCTTTTTATACAACCGGTAATCAATAAAGAAACCATGCATGTAGGCTCTAAGAAGATTGGTGCCGATCAAATTCGATAAATTCAACCTGTGAAGGTCGTCTTTCGTTAAAAATTTGAAATCATCATAAATAGTTGTTTGTGCACCCTCCTCCAGCTCTTCCTGTAAAAGGAAACACAAATAAGTGATTCTACCAAAAATATTTAAGATCCAAATGGAAAAAATTTAAGGGCATATAAGTTCAAGAAACTAAACAAGAGAAATCCAATGATCACACCGTTAAGTTTTCTAGGTAAGAACACCATTTGGGAGCCGGTCCAAGGGCAGGTATGAAATAAGAGGGTATCTGGCTGCTGTCAAGAGCCAATAATATCAACCCACTTTCACTGAACACACACAAATCATTTATTGTTCCAGCGGTGGGCTCAATGCTGGTCATGCCTTCTCCCTGAAAGCATCAAAAATCTCAATTAGACCCTGAAATTAACACAGAATTATATATGAAGACAACGATTTTCACCAACTAATATTCAATAGATTCAGCTATGCATTAACCACAACACACTTGATAAAAAAATTCCTCCACCTTTCTTTAAGCAAATTTTTGTCTTCCTCGACTCTTTTATTTACAGTCAATAACTATTGCATCACTCTTTCACACCGATGCAATAGTAAGTCATCTATAAATATATCCAAACCATCTATGTCGATTCTCCCTTATTTTATCTCTTATGTATGCAATCTCTACTTTTTTATGGATGGTCTCATTCCTGATTCTATCTTTACTAGTTTTACTACACATCAATCTTAACATTCTCATTTCCGCCACTCAATTTTTGGACAAGTTATTATTTAGCCACCCAACACTCAGCACCATAAAGCATAGTTGGCCTTATACTTGTTTTATAGAATTTTACCTTTAGCCTAAGGGGTTTAACCTATCACACAATACACCAAAAGCATTCCTCCATTTAATCCATCCCACCTTAATTTTATGAGCAACATTATCAACAATATCACAATCCCTATGAATGATTGATTTCAAATATCTAAAGTATTCGCTCTTCATCTTGATCCTTAATCTTTACTATTTCCCAATTTGGATTTCTCCTTTTACAAAAGCTACATTTTTGTATAGTGTTACTCCTACTTATCTTAAATTTTAAAATTCTAAAGTCTCTTTCCAAATTTTAGTTTATGATTAAGTCCTCCTTTACGTTCAAAAATTAATATTTTATTATCAATAAGTAACATACTCCATAGGATCTTATCCTGAATGTGTTTAGTCAATTCATCTACAATCGAGGCAAAAAGATATGGACTCAAAGCCAAACCCTTATGTAAAGCCTACAGTGCTTGAGAATTTATTAATCTCTCATGTAGTTGTTCTCACTTAAGTACATATCCTTAATCATCTCAACATACCTAATACTGACTTATTTCTTGTCTAGAACCCACTATAATATATCTGAAGAGACTTTATCACATGTCTTCTCTAAATCTATAAAAATTAACACAGATCCTTATTATTTACTCTATACCTTTCTATTAGTCTTCGAAGTAAGTATATAGCTTTTACTATTGATTTGTCAAGCATAAACCCAAACCCAAATTAATTCTCCGAAACAATTGCTTCAAACCTTAACCTTTGCTTGTCCACTCTCTCCCAAAGTTTTATTGTATGACTCATTAGTTTAATGCCCTTATAGTTTGTGCAACCTGTATATCTCTTTTATTTCTTATATAGATAATAAAATACTCTTCTTCCACTCATAAGACATTTACTTAGTCATTATAATTTTATTCAGTAATTTAGTTAGCCCTGATATCCTAATGCCCTCTAGAGAATTTCAAACCTCAACAAGTATACCTTCAAGTCCTAAGGCTTTCTTGGTCTTCATTTTCTTTAACGTGTCCTTTACTTCAGACACCCTAGTCCTATCAAAAAATTTGTTATCCATGGTCTCCCAACTATTTCTATATCCCTCAATTTCTAAGCTCCCAATATGATTTTCATTTCGTAGTTTTGGAGATCAAATAACTAGATCTCTAGAGAGAGACATTCTAAGTAAAGGGAAAAATAGAGTTTTGAAAGCAAGCTTCCCCACCATAGGTCCTTCCAAGATTGGATTCTAAATCCATCTCCCACGATGGATTTGCTATAGGGTAAGAATCCAGGATAATAAGATGAATGGCTTTCCAAGGGCAACAATATGTCTCTACAAAAGGCAATTTAGATCCTAGACCGCACATACTCTTAATGACTGACCCCAAAAGATAGTTTTTGCTCCTTAGGAAATCTCCAAACCATTTGAGCAACCACTCTTTCTTTTTGCTTCATTATTGCTTGAGCTATTACATACAATCAAATTAAAGTTGTTTAGTGTATAACATTATAATATTATAAAGGTTATAATCTCCTTTTTCAAACATTTAAGATTTCAAGATGTGGCAGTATTGTAGCGATTCTTGATGATTAATGAGATTTTGCATTAACTTTGGGTATGTTATCAAATGCGAACATGATCTCATAAGTCATAACATCACGTCCCCAACGGCATCATAATATTATTGGAATATGTTAAAGTAACATCATCAGTAAAATACCAATTAACAACATTAGGGAACAAATTTATAATGAGTTCTACACTCAAGAACATGACGTGTTTTTCACCTATATTAAAATCTTTAATTAAAAGTACAAGTTTACAAGCTATCAAGAATTGTGAAAACCCCTTACACTTTTCCTAAATAATTTCTTACAAGAAGAAACTTGGGGTGATAGTTGATAGAGATTTTAATAGCCTATACGGGTAACTTTTTAAGATTCAACAACCAACTCAACCAAGCCTTATCTCGACTATTTGGGGTCCGCTAAATGAATCTCATTCTTCTAATGATGCTCTATCAAGAGTCAATATCCATTATTAAACTACAAGCTAAGCTACCATATATTATTTACTGTGGTATTCAAAAATAATTTTGGTCCAATCTATCTCTAGCTATGTCTAACAACTCTAACCACCTAACTCAATTCTCTTTTAATTTATCTTTTGTTGAACCACATTAAGATCTTTTGTTTTTTTTTTTTTTTTTTTTTTTTGGGGGGGGGGGGTGGGTTTGTGTGTGTGGGGAGGAAGGGTGAACGGGACTTGAACACTTCACCTTAAGAAGGCAAAGACTTCACAAGATAAAGTGTACCATTGGACCAAAGGCCTGTTGGTCCATATCAAGATCCTATCGTTGAATTTTGCCTTGAAATTCAGTTATAAATACAGCACTTGTAAGAACACTACAGTAGCAAGTCCACACGTGGTAATGGAAAGTGTGCTAATAAGCTAGCAAATAGCTGATTAATTACTTCATTCAAACAAACTCATACAATTAAGCAGGTCATTCTTTAGGACTATTGTGATAGACCAGGCAAATAATAGGAACACCAGATTTTAAACCTGCATAACTTCATATTAGTGTGAGCACAGGCAAATGTGCACATAAACACAACTATGCTGATTACTAAATATATTTAAGAACATTGAAAAAGGAACAAGAATCATTACAATCATCAGAAGTGTACGGTTGTCTTCCATATTAATAGCCTAGTCATCCCCTCTACTTAAAAACATTTTGAAGAGAAAACACATGATTTTCCACAAAGTAGAAACAAATGGTGGCACTAAGAGCAAAGGGTTTGTAAACTAAGAGAAAAAGGTTTCACATTCGAAAGAAGATGAAAGAATCCTTACTGTCTCAGGGTCCCAAATCCTGACGATATGGTTATCAGTAGTAAGTAGCTTTGGCCGCTCAGAGTTAAGAGTTCGATGCCACTTAATATCCAATATTGGACTGCCATACCTACAAAACATTGACGAGTGGCTATTACCAACAACTCAAGCACATTAAAAAAAACTGACAGTGCATTCTATAGGAAACTCTACACGCAAAAGTGAGCTAGCAGACAACTCACATGTGATCCTTTACTCGCATAGGATATGAAGAACGCAAATCATATATCAGGACCTGCACAATCATATGCCAATAATGAGTCTGCATTTCGGTAATAGAGATGATTGGAGGAGGAGGTTATATAACCTGCATGCAATAGAAAGGATACATTTTGCATGCTGTGAATAAGGGTACCAAAGGCTTTCTATAAAGGAGAAAGAAAGATCATGACCCTGCTGAGAACTAGATACCACAAAGTTTCAGCATCAAATCAGTGGTGGTGAAGATTTCAAGTTCATGAAATGTTTAGGTTACATTTAATGAAGCAAAAATAAGAAAAAAAAATTCTCAAATGAAATTTATTTAATTAAACCTTGCAAAAGAATGTGCAGAAATAAGTGATAACTTGTGTCTCAATGATTAAGAATCAGACTCCTCCTTAAGTCGATTTTATCTTCGGTGTTATAACCAATCATGTATTATTAATGTACTTAATTGAATAAAAATTTATGCTTCAAATTTGAAGCACTTAATGTGGTTTAAACAGCCCCTAACTTATCATATCTTCTTAATGCCATATTTCAGGCTTTGGTTATGCAGATTCAATCCCACCTTTAACTTCCAACTGAAGGGTTATCTTTAGAAGCAGCAATCAATACATAACCAAATTCCGCTGATACTAATGCTCTCAATCCCTTTGACTTTTAAAACAATCAACTCCCAGTACCACCTTAAATCAGAGCTTAGCTTGCTGTTCTAGATACTGTACCCATCTAAGTCTTGTGAGTCCTCATCTAGAGAGAAAAAATTAGCATTACACACGTTTTTGCTTCTTTTCTAATAACATTTGTGGTAACTGGTAACCTAGGTAACCCTCTTGTCCTCAATTGTACCAATTTAAAATATAAATCTTAAAGCTTATCATTTTGACACTTAATATCTTCCTATCTCATCAGAAAATCTATTTTTCTAGATAACATTTCAAGGAAAGAGATATATGATCACCATGCTACTTCTTGTAGCTTCTACAAATTACAGGTGCACTAACCAATCCAGTAGGTCCTTTCACTTGTTTGAAAGTAAAGGAACCAGCTTTGGTACTATTACCATCCAAAGAAAATTATGCTCCTGAATCACATTATGTCATAGATAGGGGTGCGTATGTGTTCGCTGAGAGTGCATAGAGACATGCATGCATGCGTATATACTCTATTGTCCTGGACACAGGTCCCACATGTGTCGTTACATGCATGTCTAGAATTTGTCTTATCCCTAAATGTCAGAAAATAATCAAAATTATCCACAAAACCCAGTAATAATTGAACATTGGTTTTGTGGATGTGGAATATATTGCAAGAATATTGTTAGTTTGTGCTTAGTTCTATCAAATGCGTATAAGTTTCGAAAGGAGTGTGCTCTAGTCTAAGGGGCCATTTTGCTGAGAAATATCAGCTTATACTGACAGTTGATGTTTAACACTTAAAAAGTGTCCAGTAATTCAAAATGTGTTTTAGCCTCCAAATAGTGATATACAATTTACTGTACACATTAGTCTACATTAAAAATATAACTGGGGACTAGTTTGCTTCTCGAAATACTTGATTGGAACAGAACAAAGAATAAGGCTAAAATTAAACAACTTCGCTGAAAGAACAATTTGGTATAATCAACATGATTCCAATCACGATGAAGTCGCTTAATTGGAATGCCTGACAAGACTGTACAAGAGGTCATCTTCCTCCCCATATTGATGTATTTGTAACTTCTTAAATACTGAAAGAAGTCGCAGTACTGGCAAAGCTAGTGATAATATAAGACTAACCAGTACAACATTCTCATATCCATTTCTTTATGAACTTTAATCTCTCCATAACACGTTATCAAAAGATTTTTTTAAGTCACATATAACCTCTAGTGTTCTTTTTGACAATAAACGAATTGTATTATAAATAACAAAATGCCAAAGGCAAGAAATACAAGTGACTAAGTGAGAACAAGAAGTCCTCTGAAACATACAACAAACAAAGAAAAAAGAAAAATTGAAAGAAAAAGTGAGAAAACTAAGCAAAATTCTAGAATAATAAAGTCCAATGAAAAAGTGCAGTCATTTATCAACACTCTTCACAGTTCACAGACTTGTGCCAAATGATCTTTAATCAAAAACAATGGCATCCTCTGGTGCATATTTGATTCTCTGGATTCACATGATGATTCCAAATTTTTGCTCTCGAACAATGATGTCAAAGAGGCATACTAATTATTTAATACAAATTTCATTTTTCTGCATCTCTATACTGAACTCCAGATAGAATACTGATTTTTTTTTTTTGTCTCCACAATTACATTACACCATTCCCCTCATGATCATCTTTTGAATAGTGGGATTACAGCTGTATTAGCTTAACTTTACATGCCACGATTCTGTAACAGCAAATGATTCCAACGATCTATTGATGTATTCATACAAATTATTATTGAATTTTTTGACGTCCCACAACCTCACTTGACCTAACCACTTACAGCTCTTTTCTTTCAGCTGGTAAAGAAAACACAAAACAACCAGCCTATGCCAACAGACATGTCATCCATCATGCATCCTGAGTGAAAGTGAACTAAGATGTGTTTAATTCCTCGTTTAAATTTGATCACTGTTTCACTATACAAGGGCAAGATTATGAGTATTTAGAAAATAAGACATGACTAGAATGCACTGCAGACATGATATTTTAAGCGTACCTTTCCAGCACTACTTCCAACAGCCATGAGGTAACCTGAGTCTCCATCAAACTCTATTGCAGTAACCTCCTACAATTTTATGCATATCATTATAAAGCATTCTCATGTGCAAAAAATTAGCACATATTGACATCACATGAGAGCACCTAAATTAAATGGCTACCGTCTTCCTGTCATAACATATTGAAGCAAAAGCAACAGGAGCTATAGCTTTTTATCTTTCATCATTTATTATTTAAAACCAGTGGAGAAAGAAAACAAAGACGAAGATATACCACAATCACCCAATAATCCTAAACAAATGCAGATATAGACAAGACTATCAAACCAACTTGCGCTGCACGGACAGGTATATAAAATCTCTGCACCTGATTCCCAACAATAGCATTTCAAAATATATGCATTCAGCTTCATGAAGTTTGTTATCATTCATAAAATTGGAATCTGGATCAGTGAATCAAGAAGTAGATGAGATACCTGGTCAGGGTCACCAGATGGTGCAACAGCATTTATCCTACCAACTGAAGATTTGGCTCTTACATCAAAGCATTCCACAGCACCATCCTCACCACCACAAGCAACTAATCCATGAACTTTGCTGAATTGGGAAAAAAATGGCTGCCTCATATAACTAAATAAGCCATGGCCAAAAATATTGTACAACTAACAAAAACAGACGTGGCACTACAACATGAATACAACCTTCGAGAGACTACATTTAGTGCTGGAGACTGTGTGTTAAGTGAGGATAGGAATCGCCCCTGCAAAGACAAATATCAAATTCTTTAATACCTGGAACAGTAAGCATGTATAATATAGAGCAACTAAATAAAATTTTGAGACTTAGAAATACAATAGAGCAAGGATGAGCATGCCATATACGATGATCATATTTTTTAAAGTTGAACATGCCAGAGTCAAACGTAGTTTACAGTTTGAAGGGACAGAAGGGGAAGTGGCTCCCTCTCCATCTTTTTTGTTTTCTAAAGGGGGATAACGAAAAGAAAAAAAACAATACTAGAAAACTAAAATAAACACCAAAAGATGACAAAATTCACAAGGCAGCAATACAGACCACAATATTAACGGCAAACCAAAAATAGCAATGGGAATAACTACAAAGAAATGATATTTTGATAATCCCCAGAGAGATACAACTGCCCTTCTAATCGAAGAGCCTGCACCTGAGTTGGTTGATCATAGAATCAACTAACTCAGCCAAACAATACGCTTTTTTTTTAATTAAAACAGTTCGCTTAATCAAATTAGAAAGTGACCAACCACTTTCACCACTTTTGTCAATTCACATAACAACATCCTACTATCTCACCAAAAAATAATAAAAGAACTCCTAGCAATTGTATCTTCCAACCATCTAACAGAGCACAACGCAAGAATCGATTGAACAGTCATCATCCTTCACATTACCCAGATAATAAAAAGTGACCGCCAACAAAAAAACCCTTCATTTTTTTCCTCCAAAAAGATTTTTTTTAAAGGGGGGGGGAGGGGGGGAAGAGCAGAAAAATAGGAACAATCCAAGGACAAACGTCCCAATAGAGTAGCAATATTATTAAGTAATTCACAAGCAAAAGAATATAATGCATACTATGATACAGAGAAGGGTGTTTGACTGTATGCAGCTTTTCTGGGAATGTATGCTTTAGTAAATATGCTTTTCAAGCCTTCAACCTTTGGTATCTAGTATACATTTTCTTGTTTCTTGCCTTGCTCTCATTCAGCTTGTACACGGGTTACATCCCTAAGCTTTTTAAAAGAAATAATAAATAATAATGCTATAACATCCCCCTCTATTTATCAGAAGATAGAAGGGACTAATAACAGTAAAAAAAGGGCTGGGGCCATTACTACGCATTTATACTTTTTCTTCAGCTAGCGTATAAATTAGTGGAGGATACATGACATCCACATTAGTACCCAACACAATGACCCCAAAGAAGTTGAATTCCATGATGTCGCACTGTGCTTAGTTGTTGGAATCCATGGGATTGCGCAAAAAATAAATAAGGGGGGAAATGCTAGACTAGGATCCCAACTCAAAAAAAATAAAAACAAACTCAAAGCTCCACAAAGTTTAAACCATACATAAAAAATTTCCAAGATTGGTTGTCCAGCAAGAACAATTTTGGATAGTGGCTAGTAGTGCAAGCTGAGAAGTTCCACGTGCACAGTTCTAAAGTATTCACATTCTTTGCAACAAATCAAGCTTCACTGCAATGTTGTTTTTCCACAACGGCCAAGAAATAGAGGAAAATAATACTAATCCGTTTCTCGCCCATACAGAATATAATGAAACCACTGAAAGGCTGGGAAGAGTTATAATATTACATCAACAATTGCAGAATACTCCAAACATACATCGTACAAACAAACTACAAAAACATAATAGAGTACTACATTGAAAAGAAAGGTCAGCAAAAACCTGTTCTAGATTAATTCTATATAAATCTGGAGAAGAGGCAGCACAAAGTAAGTCACAAGACCAGCAATCATATGCAACATCCCTCCCCATCCTGTCAACAGTGGTACATAGAACCACATGTTAAGCTGAGTGCCATAAGAAAATAGAAAAAGGAAAAGCTAATAAGTACAGAAAATGCAAAATGCATAAATCCCAGCTTCCAGATAACAGCATATTGCATTTTAGTACAAGTTTCTAAAATTGGGATCCTATTTTGATCAATGGGGAGGCTATTGGATCGTAGGATCGGATCGACTGAAAAAATGAAATGAAAAATATATGTAGCAATATAAAATTCTCAAAAACAAGAATTAAACAACCTAATATACATGCAAAAAAAAATGTTATGACAAACATAGAACTTAAGATGTGATTGAAATTTGATAAACTATAATTTAAGCATTGAAAAAGGTTTAAAATCAAGGTGGACTGTAAATCTTGTAAGATTTTGCAAAGAAAAATAGAAGAATTAAAGTATTTTGATCTTAACTTTCGTAGAGAGAAATACACAAGAGAGCCTAGAAAGTTGAAACGCTGATGAATAACATTGACTATTCGACATTCAATCAACAAAAAGAAGAAAAGAATAAAAATGACAGATTATCGGGCTATTATCACTTGTCGAGAATATCAAATCAAACAATTGCTTTCAATTTTTCAACGAGATGAATAAAGAGACGTTTTTGTAAACGAAACAAACTTTCTATAGTTGTTCTCAACCGTTGAAATTCCCCGGTAGACTCTTAAATATATAAAACATTTATATTTTAGATCAAGTCTTTAACTATTAAGACTGAAAAATATGGATTGGTTGCTCAATAACTAAATGGGCCTAACAAACAAGCTCAACTACTTAGATCAGTAAAATTGCAATTCAGATTGGGATTCTATGATCCTATAAGACCCAAAGATCCTATGAATTTGAGATTCTAAAAGAGACTCGGATCGATTTACTTGGACCGGATCGTATGAATCGGGAATCTTGATAACCATGATTGTAGTCCCATCAAAGTCCTCTCATGAAGACCAGTTAACGCTCATAAGATACACGTCAAATTATCGCTCCTTACATCAAACTCAAGAAGCACTATTTCTTCAAAATTTCACGTCATCATCATATCATTTCCAATATGCCCAATTGAAACTCGCCGGAAACAAAACTTCATAGAATATGTGAACCATTTTTTCATGATTGACATTTCTTCTGCTTATTTTCCCATTAAAAATCTAAAGTAAGCCACCCTTTATTCCCCAGTAGTGCTTATAAGATACATTTAACCTAACTTATCTAGCCATTGAGATTTTCAAAGAATGATATTTCACATATTTGGAAGTCATGACTGATTAAAATCTAGAGAGAATAGCCATGAAGACCACATTTTAATTATTTTTGGGACCTCGACTCCAACTTTAAACATTTAAGTAGTGCAATGTATTAGGGGCATGCTCTCATTTGACGGAGATGCAAGAATGTGTATACCCTTGTTACATGATTGATGATCCCCAAAATTTTAAATTTCCTCCTTCCATAGGATGACTCATTTTCTAAGCAAGAAGGAGATGCCGTGTTGACATCACTAACATATGACATTAGCATGTCACAGAAGCATCATATCAGATATAAAGCATGACTTCTACTCAGCTGTTTATGACAAAACAACACAAAGAAATAACCAGATTCCTGGCATCCACGAAAGAATACATTCCCAAGTGAGTTGTTGAACTCTTTAATATGTTGTCGAACAAAGAATAAAGAGTATATGTCTAAACTCAACTCACAAAGCCTTGTTTCTTTTTTTGGGTCGCCAAATTAAGAGAATATGTGGTGGAATGATAATAAAATCCAAAAAAGAGCAGAATATAAATGGAGGCATTCAATGAGAGCAGGGGAAAAAAACCTTGGAATCCGCAAACTGTAGTGACTTCCATATTTTGCATGTAGACAAACAGAACGATCAGCACAAAGAAACGCAATCTTTGAATAGTCATCACCCAACACCTAATGCAGCAACAAAACATACAATCACCAATGCTCCCAAAGACATTGATTATTAAACATCAAGAAACAAACAAACAATTTATTTCTTCATATGATCGCGTGGTATTTTGTAATTCAAATACAAAAATGAGAATAAATCACCACTTAAAAAGGGGGGTGGCCACATAATCAGGTTCTAAGTTTTTTTATCAACAACAATCAGGGGATAAGGTGAATACAATAATATGATTGCAAAAACAATGCAAATTCTGGAGACTAAAAACATTGATATAGCAACCATTTTTATTTGAACCAAACCCATTTTTATTCCAAGCAGGCCGGTAGATTTACCCGCCAAAGTGAAATTCTGGATCTTTCATTTAACCTTCAGGAGGCTCGGCTGGGGTATTGGTGCATAAGGGTAACTCTTAAACTCTCAAAGGATGAATAAAGATTGAGGGCACGAGGTCATGTGCATTTTGTTTATGAAATCACTGATGTATTGCTATCTTTAGACATCAACCTCTCCCTTTAGGGACCTATACATTAGCAAAGAAGGAAGAGAAGTTTTGGTCATGATAAGCATCCATCACGTTGAGCAATTTTTTGACTTTGAAAAAAGATATACATCTTTGAAATTATATTCCTAACCCCACCCCACCCCACCCCAGGGAGATTTGATGTCATAAATTGTTCAAAAAAAATGTTATTATTATTTGATAAATCCAAAGCATCCTAAATGTTGTTGACGTTGAGATCTGAATTCTTCATTGTTCATTTAAGTCATAGAGATAACTTGGTCAAACATCGATATGTTGCAGTATATATACTTGATGTTTCTCTCTTCCACTTCTTGGGTATATTCGACTTTTTTCTAATAAAGTTATACTACAAGTTGCTTGCTTATTATATTAAGTGACTTGTATACAACAAGACGTATGATAATTGAAACGAATCTCGTTGAATTAAGATATAGCAATTTACAAAATGATCTTGTGTTCCCTTTCAACGTACCACATGTGATCAAACACGAATCACAATATGGTGCAACGTCAAGTTTTTAAAAATTTATTACATAGGGAACACCTCAAAACCCCAAGCAATTTGTAGGAATTTGTATATGGAAGACACTGGGAGTAGATCAATGGACAAAATATCACATAAACGTGCTTCATTGATACAACTATAGAATTTTGGTGGAAAAATATGTAGGATCATTGAAGCCAGCCACATTTTGAACACCAGATAGAAAACAGCCTTTAACACCAGAGGAAAACAAGCACCTGAAAGTTAACAATCTCTGAGACTAAATGTCTTTCAAACTTCAGTGACAATTCCCTCAACTCATATACCTTGATTTGTGGTGGATAAATACCTGAGATTCAATAAAAGATCCACATGGCCAGTACAGACTGGGCAATTATGCATCTCCTGCGGAAATTACATCAAACAGAGGTTTAAAAAATGGGTTCAGCATTCACCTGATGCAATAAGATACTCTCCATCTGGAGTTGCCTTAATTCTACTTGTAGCAGTTTCAAACCTCAAATCTTGAATCAAATCCACCCTTTGCATATAGTCTATAATAAACAAGGCAGCAACAAAATCATTAATGGCAATAATAACAACAACGTAGAAATCACAATTGGGTGGCCCTTTTTTGTGATTCAAGTGATTTCACACAAAATCATAATTTAGAAAAAAAAAAACACATGTATAAGGTCATTACATATAAAACATATTCTCTGTCTCCTGTCAGCTAATATAATCAATTCCTGCTATCTCTAACATGTCTGTCTATAAAAATTTTACTGCCTCCAATTGTGAATTGACGTTAAAAATCCACAATTTGTGTCAAGAGTTGACAATAAACAAAAATAGGTAGAGACCCACAATGATTTAAGATCCTAAAGTGTCACATAAACCTCCACCTCAACACAAAACAATGCCTACAAATATTCACAAACTCATATAACTATAGGGCCCATCTACTGTTGGAAAAAGGGCTTCATACTAGGGTTTAACAAAGGGTTTAAGACAAAGGGTCATCACCCAATGTTCTCCACGTGTAACGGGTATTTGCACAGATATTACCACCAGTTCAATCATAATATGAAGAGTAAGGAACAATGTTACAAAAAAAAAAAAAAACCCAAAAAACAAAAGAAGAGTGTAAAGACCTTTGTTTTTGCTAAGAGCTCTGAGCTTCTTGGGAGGGAGCCATGTGGCTACGGAACGGTTTTGGCCCGATACTGAGTACATCTTCACCCCGTTCATGGAGGTCGACTTCAAGTTTCCTCCTTGGTACGCCATGATTGAACCGAGTTACCAACACTCAGTTCCGCCGGAAAGAGAGAGAGAGAGAGAGAGCACTGTATGAGAAATCGGTGGCACCACTTAACGCCGCCTTGGCTTCAAGTTGTAGGGTTTGAATCGTTAGATATAACTGTTAAAAAAAAAAATCGTTAGATATAAGGTCTATGGGTCGGGCTATATTCAGATCCTAAAAACTACCGAGTAGTACTAACCCGACAAATATTCAGATCCGACGGCCTACTCTGTTCGGTATGTATATTTTTCTATCCTTAAATCCTTTTTCCCCGAACCGGTTTCGTTTCTTCCTCTCACCCACCCACCCGCCAAGCCCAACTGCAGCCACTACCACGGCCACCAGCTCCACCCGTTTCTCTCGTTGTGTCAGTATTTGTGTATGTGGGTCCGGTGTTCTGCGCTTTCGGACGCAGAGCCAGAGAAATTCCCGTTGTCGGCGCAAATTACTATACTAATGAGATTGATAAAAGGTTAATCACAATTTAAAACATCACTCAAATTTCAATTTATACCCTTAAAATTTAAAAATATTAATTTACATCTCAAAAAATATTAATATGTATTAATGTGTACCTGAAATTAACTGCCGTCTATTTTGCTTTTAAAAAAATTTGGATTAATTATAAATTATATTCCTCAAATTTTAAATATTTCACATTTATGATCCAAAAAAATTTTATCCATTAATACTCTTTTAAATACTTCTCAATCGTATGGTGTCATAACATTTTCGTATCGTGTTCGAGTCAATAAAAATTAATTTTAACACAAAAAATATTTTTGTGTCGAGTACATCACATTGTGTCATATATTTCACATTTACAACAATTCAAATAATACTATTTAATATTTTAAAATTTTAAAAATACCTATTTTTTGTCTATAATACTCATTAAACAACTATTTTCTATTTACAATTGTGTTATTCGTATCTAACATTAATTTGATTAGACAATCTAAACATTTGTATTTAACTATAGACATAAAATAATTATTTAATGAGTATTGTAGGCAAAAAATAGGTATTTTATAAGTTTTTTAAAATTTTAAAAAAAAATTATTGACTCGACACGACACGAAGATATTATGATACGATACAACTGAAAGTTATTTAACGAGCATTAATTGATAGAGTTCTTTTTTGATCATAAATATGAAATATTTAAATTTTGAGTAGTATAATTTATAATTAGTCTAAATTTTTTTAACAGTAAAATGAACGGAGTTAATTTCAAGTGTACATTAATACGAATTTATATTTTTCAGGGTATAAATTAATATTTTAAACTTTAAGGATACAAATTAAGATTTGAGTAATCTTTCCGAATGCAAATTGAGATTAGCCTTTGATAAAAACATACCCTTAGGTCAAAATTTAATGACACCTCTCCCAATTCTAAAATTCCTTGCACCCTTTTCTAAAATTTTTTGTAGCCCTTTTCTAGTTTATACTGTGAAATCATGGACACCCCTTAATAGTAATTTTCGTCTCTGACAATAAATAAAGTGCATGATTTAATTACCTATTCTTTGAAAATGCCAAAATTATCATTTGTTATGTTAATAAACTAAAATGCCTTAGGTCAGCACATTATAAAGTTTATTTTTTTAATTTTTTGATAAGTAAGATGATATATTTATATCTAATCAAATTATGTTTTACACAAGATAAAATCATTCAACATAATAAGATCAAAAATGCACACAAAAAAAAGCAAAATAAAAAAAAATAACAATTTACCAAAAAATAAGGTTAAATTATAATCATTTTTAATTGATCTCAATGAATTTTTATCATTTTAAAATGTTATATGATAACTGTGTTATAAATATCACAAAATGATAACTTTGTTATAAATATAAAAATATATATATATGATATATATTAGTCATAATATTTTCACTCATTTGATTACATACTCGAGTTTTTAAAATTTTTATAGTTAAAAATATTTTCTCTATAATCAAAATTACAATTGATAAAGTTGATGTCAAAGTCCCACCCATTTTTAACTCGTCTGCTATCGTATGATCTCGATAATGTCATTCGATCACTCTTCACACATCACACTTCATCTATCAAATTTAAATATTATTTGATAATATTTAATGTCAATTGAATAAATTTAGTCTTAATTTGATATATTTAAATATTAATTTAGTGTTAATTTAATAAAATTTAATGTTAATTGAATAAATTTGAATGTTGTTTTGATGAAATTGAATGTTAATTTAATATTAAATTAAATAAATGACATTAATTTGATGAGTTAAATGTTAAATTAATGAAATTTAATATTCTATTTAATGTAATTAAATTTTAATTTAATAAAATTATATGTCAATTTGGTGTTAATTTTATGAAATTAAATAACAATTTTAAATTAAAAAAATAATATTAACGTGATTAAATTAAATATCAATTTTGTATTGATGTGATGAGATCGAATGTTAATCTAATTTAAATTAAAGAAATGACATTAATTTAAAAAATTAAATATTAAATTGATGAACTTAAAGGTTGAACTAAAAGAGCGTATAGTGAAATTTTAGAATCAGGAGGTGTGTTGTTGAAGTTAGGCCTATTTATTGGAGACGTAGATTAAATTTACTTAATAAAATACTAAGGGATGTTTTTTTAAAACAATGCTCGCCTGCTGTAAATAGATAATAAATTGACAAGGGGTGTTACTGAAAAATTAGAATTAGAAGGTGATGTCATTGAATATAGACCTAATTACAAGAGGTATGGATGAAAGTTTTTCTAAAATTTAACTAATAATAAAAAATAAAACTATATAGAATCCCTAAAATATGTCTTTGTCAATTAAACCCCTGCTTATGTCAAAACCCTTCAATTATATAATTTGACTCATTGTTCATATTTCGTCTAAATTATTGTCAATTTTAAGGGAATGCTTCATGTGCAAATCACAAGGATTAGGGGTATATAAGACCATGCACAATTAGGGTATTTAATATGTGCAAGTGAGTTTAAAGTTTTCATCGAATTTGGATGGAATGAGACATTGAGTTATATTGTATAGTTAAGGGATTAAGTTGGTAAAAAAATTAATTCAATAACTTAGTTGACACATGACATCATTTAGGGGCTATTTTTGTACTTTACTAGATAATAAACTTATATATGTATTGATAACATTTTTTGAAGTATTTTTAATTCTTTTGGATTTTTTTTTTGATTCTCTATTTTACCTTTTTTTCTTAAGTTATAAAGAAACACGATTTAACGAAAGCTACCGACCATAAGAAAGTCCTTACTATTTTTTTGAAGCCTAAAATAAAGCAAAAAAATTGTCTTCTTGAGTACTAATGGATGTTGCTCAAGAGAGATCAGATAATAACTAAAACTATGTTTTCAAAAACACAAAATAATTTTAGAAAATTTTTTCGTTTAGAAACACCTAGGAGTCATACGGATTAGTTCCTGATGATGGTAAGATTTCGGCTTGGGCAGTCTATCCAAAACTTAAAACATCCAATGGATCCCCTGGTTACATGGTAACCCAAACAGCTCATCTGCAGCTTGTCCACCTCGCAATAAAAATGAGATACAACCCAAAGAAGAGAGTCCAACGACACCCATCAAGCCTGATGGAAAATTAGTCTAGGAACAAGTAACTTGGTATTCGTCAGATCTCGAATATCTCTCGTCATGCCACGTGTCTAGGGGACAGGGGACAGTTTTTGGAGCCTATAACGAACACATACTCCCTCATAAAGAGAATATGTGTACACATTCCGTTTAAGGATCATGGTCACAATTTGCGTCAGGATGACAGACACCACTACAGGACAAAGGAAAAGGGGATCACAGAATCAGCCATGAGAAGGAAGAAATCGCAAAAAACCCTGGATTATTACTTGTATAAATAGAACACCATCACACTGTGTAGAGAGAGTTCCAGAAAATTATATTCACAAGACACTGTATACAAAGATTGTAAACCAAAAAACCTATCGTAATCTTCTTCTTCAAGCAATACAAACCCCTAGAAGCAGGAATTTCCATTGTAGTAGCTTTGGTCATTCGGTTAAGGTAAACCACTTATATCCTATTTTTGGTCCAATTTCATCTCTTACTTTCTCGTTAACCTAAATATTCACATCACCCTAGGCCTGACAATCGTGTCAAATGAAACGGTTTCGTGTCGGGTGAAATAGATTTGTGTCAAAAAATCCTTAATCCATACCTCATTCGTTTATATAAACGAGTCCAACTATTACATTCATACACAAATCATTAATTAGATGAGTTACCCGATATAACCCGTATGTCACCCGCTAAATAAGATAATAGGTTAGAGTTTCGAGTACACACGAAAAATCATCAATTTGCTACACATTACACATGTTTGACTTATTTACTATAACAATAAATCAAGACCGAGCAAACAAATAAAGACAAAAAATAAAAATTAAATGACTACTAAATTTGAATGAGTTTAAGAGATGAGAGGTGTAAGATAAGACAGAGGTTCAGATACCTAACTTTTTAAAAAAAAAAATTATAGTACAACTATTAACGGTTAAAATGAGTTTATGGGTTAAACACAAAATCGATTCATTTATTTTACAGATTTGCCAAGTTAACCCGTTAAAACTATACCCAAATCCGTTAAATCCGTGTCAGATTCGTGTCGGTTTCACGAGTCGTGTCTAAAATTGCCAAGTCTACATCGCTCCCCATTGGGTCTCACAACCATTATTCTACACTTGGGCTAAGTAATTTCAAGCACCATCAGTGCTGATTCTATTTATCCCTAATCGTCTTAAGTTAACTATCAATGGATTATCTTAAGTATCTAGATCATTACATTTGTCCCAAGTTCGAAAGTACATTCGGGGTGTGAATAATGTAACTTTGATGTTTGATCTTCTTGCTTCAATAACACTTTTGGATCTTCAATCTTTATAGCATCATAACAATGGTATAGATTGAGATTTACAATGGACACCACGAAATTAACTAATTATAATATGTGATCTAGCATGGTTGTCTTAGGCTCCTATCAAGCTCTTTGGTTATAAAATACCTCCAGGCATTTTAATGTAACTTAGATCATTCACTCATGTCATAGCGTATTAACTTCTATAAACCTCTTTTTGATTCCCAACGGGGAGTATCCTATTGGATAGAGGAGTTTGAGTTGGGCCTAAGTTTATGTTTTGTATTTTCTTTTTTTCTAGTTTCAAACTAAATAAATGAAGCTACGTATCGAGCGTTTTGAAAGAAAATGACGAAACGTTTCAAATTTTATTAGAAAATGTTACATTATAGAAACTCTCCTTATGTTTTGTTCTTATTTCTCAAATATTACAACGTTTCGTAGGTTTCGAACGAAACGGGAAAAAATTCAAGACCATGCCAATAAGGTAGGATTCAATGTTGCAATTGGTGGCCCATCCGATCCGAGCGAAGAGTTGACCTAGGTATAAGATTGTTAATCGAACTGAACTACTCGAGCTTAGCCCGTTTAGACTCAATTCGTTTTTTAAACGAATTCAAACTTAAACAAGTTTTGAAAATCGTTTAAAAAATAAGTCCGGTAGGCTCGGCTCAAACTCGACAGACTCGACTCGTTTATGTGTAAATACTGAAGTTTGACTCAAGTTCAACTCATTTTGGGCTCATTCAGACAAATTTAAACAATTTTTTAGACTCGACTAATAAACAAGTTTTTTAGGCTCAACTCAAACTCGTTCGACTAACAATCCTACCTACGTAGCTCCAACGAAAGCTACGGGTTGCTTGGCTCCAGAGGGCTCAGTGATAGGCTAGTTTCACATAGTAGCAAGAACCTCCCGCCATGGCCTGCCCTAGGCATAGGGCATTTTAGTGGCTCCCCAGGGCCCCAAGTTTTGTAAGTGTTCATAACGTTAATTTTTTATTTTATTTAAATCTAGCATATATAAAATTGTGTTGTTTTACTTTAAAATTAACATTTAATCATTAAAATGTTTACTCAAAGATACGACTCTGGATATGAAAAATGTTTAAAAAAAAAAAAGAATTCATTCAATCTAATAATGGGGCTCAGTGATTAAAAAAACATAAGTAGAAGTGGAAGTGATGATTTAATTAGTGAACAACCAAATCATGCAATAAATAAAAAAAAAAAAAATTGATCAATATTTTTGCATATCAGAAAATAAGAAAAATATTTTTTAAATAAATAAATAATTAAATTATAATAATTAAAGATAATACATCTATATAATAAAACACATAGAAAATTGAATTTTATCTCAAACACATTTCCCTCCCCCTAAAACCATCACCTCATCCATTTCTATCAGATATGAGAAAGTTTTATCGAATTATGTATTTTGAGAAAATTTTATTAAAATTTTTTAAAAAATGACAAGTAAAAATAAATTTTGAATGATATAATCAAAAAAATGAAGAAAACAATTATCATTTTATATAGTGAGATCGATTTTTTGAGGACTCGAATTTATGTTCTATCATATCTTCAGACACGAGCTATAGCTAATATATCAATACACGAAATAATAATAAGGTCCCGTATAAATTTTTTGCTCAAAAACGTTGGGTTGCCCCTACTTCCCGCTCCATGCAATGGAAGAATAATGTGTTTTTTTTCAAGTGGAAAAAACAGAACAATGCTACATGAATTTAAAAAATAAACTTGATAATTATAATCATTAATTTCACTACGAATTCTAATATTTATTAAGACTTATTATTTATTCAATAAAATTATAAATATCAAATATATTTTTTAAATGCACATAACATTTCTCAAAAACATATCATATGATGTTCACATCTTCCTCACCCTTCCATGAAATAATGGACTGTTTTTCTTCTCATTTTTCTGTCCAAACTATCTCAGCCATATTCCAACGGATCTATCGCCACTCATTCATCTCTAGTTTGACTTTGTTGTGTTATTGGCATCTTTCATACCAAAAGCAAATTGTTCTCTTGCAGTTATTGTCCAGCTACAGACAAAACCCCAAAATTATATGGACTTGTAATACTTAATGCGGAGGAATCTTTTATAAGACCAATTTAAAAAATTGAAGTATAGGCAATACTCATGTTGAAGGGTTTGGATTGAAATTGACTTTGAGTTAAACTGCGTCTTAAAAATTTTATAATTTAGGTTAGTTCTGTGTGGACTTCTCAATCCGCTAAATCTGAACAAGTTGCACCCCACAAATAAAAACATCAAAGGTCTAAAATTCATCACCAACAATGAAAACAAACTCCAAATTTAATTGAGTTTTTGGTAGCTCGATCGGGGACCTATATTAAATGAACATGTGGTCCGTAACCACCAACTCATCAATTTTGGCACACTAGCCACAATGTCACTAGATGATTTGGGGTGACCAAAACACACTATAATTCTTATCCTCGCATCAAGAGTTTTCCTCTACCAAAAGGATACAACCAAACACAACAAAACAATGGTGGAGGGCCCATTAGAATTGAATATGAGACCAATTATTACCAAATAGATGTGGATCATAGCATCCCAAAGAACCCCACATTCACACACTCTTAACACAAAATTATATGAAACCCCCAAAGATAAAAAAAAAAAAAAAAACAAGAAAAAATTACTAGAGCAACATCTACCAAACATGAGCTAGAAACTACAGGAATTAAATGTATGACACACTTTAGCTGAACATCCATTATTGTCAGATTCCGTACTATTATTACAGATATGATAAGATTCATATATATCCATCATTATTTACAATTGAGATATGATTCATCATTATTTACAATATCAATTGTAGATAATGATGGATCTATATAAGTATCATATTTCTAATACACTACCCAACCTTTCATACTTAATCGATCATGAGACTATGTGAGATTGGTGGTGATAAGGACACTTTATTTTGTGATATTCCACACCTGGAACCAACACAAATGTGGCTTATTTGCCTGACAAAGTGTCTTACTCATGCCATTATTATATTAACTTGAGGGAGATTTCAGACAAAAACTACACGTCGTGACCTCACCAACTTGCCATCTACCACATATTTCTCTCTCTCTCTCTCTCTCTCTCTCTCTATATATATATATATATATATATACAGATGGATTATTTGAGTGAAAAAAGTGTCTAAATCGTGCTACAATTATGTTCACTTGAGGGGGATTTCAAACAAAAAAAAAGTGGTGGCCTGACCAAAGTTATTATCTATCCAAACGGTAGTCTATCTACCACAACTTCCATCGATATTCTCCTCTTGCTATCTCTCTGTAAAGCTATGAGGTCAATACTCTTTCTACTCGCATCAATAATACTCTGCATATCAACCTTGATCTCGCTTCATCCTTTTAGGTTTTTCTGTCACTTAACCAATGTGGAGAAGCCATTGAATGATGAGTCTCAGCAATCACAAGTGATCCCAATTGTGGGTGCACTTGGTCCGGAGAGCTTTGCATTCGACCCTAACGGTGGAGGTCCATATACCGGTGTATCAGACGGTAGGATAATCAAATGGCTTGAAACTGAATGCCGGTGGGTCGATTTTGCGGTAACTTCTCCGGAGAGGTGCGTCCTGAAACCTTTATACATTCACACTCTAGACATGAAGATATCTCCTATATCGAAAAGTAGATGATAAATTGTTATTGTAACTGTAGGGTTGATGAGAGAGAGAGAGCTTTTGCATGAAGGGCGTTCATATAGTGTGTGTGTGTGTGTGATGAGCATAACAGACTTGAGATTGTAATGATCAAACCATGCACATTATGAGTGTGATTATGAATCTGATTACTGAACAAATTTCAAGTGAGTTAAGATCAAACAAGGTCGAATGCTAATTAATGATAAATGCAGCCATGTTCTTTGCATCCTTGAGCTATTATTCAGGCTTTTAATTTTATGTAAAGTATACGGTCATCGATATTGTATTAAAAATTATGCCTTTTTAAGATCAATATACAAAATTTTTAGGTATAAGTTAGAACTTGCAAAAGGTATGATTGATTCTAAAAAATTATGATCGATCGTAAAAGTTATAACTTGTAAAAACGAATTTACAAGTACTCAAATAAATTTCATAATCGATTATAGTATTTATGATTGATCATAAATGCTTTTATGATGCACGAGTGAAATACGAGAATTTCAGAATTTTATAACAACTATCTCCGACATGTGTTGACCTGGAATGAGGGTGCATTGATCACTCTTATTTGTGTGGTCCCTTCTAGTGACAACATTAGTATTCCCACTTTTATTATCACTTCCGATACTGGCAAGAGCAATTACCATATTATTAATCGATCAAAACTTTAATAAAATAATTTATTCCTAAATTCATATTTACGGTGCTATTCTGATTTTTTTTGTTTTTTTAACTCAAACAAAGAAGGACAAAACATTTATCTTATTAAATATCAAGGGGTTACCGTGTTATTTTATGAAAATTCAAAGGATGCGTATATAATTTTTGAAAACGTTTGTTAGCAGAGATGGCTGTGCGGGGTCACATGATCACGATATAACTGAGCACATTTGTGGGCGCCCATTGGGCCTACAGTTCAACAAAGAGTCTGGTGATCTCTACATCGCCGACGCATATATGGGCCTTCTTATTGTGGGCCCTGGTGGCGGACAGGCCTCTGTGGCTGCAACCCAGGCCCAAGACATTCCTTTTGGATTTAGCAATGCTTTGGACATCGACCAGCGTAGTGGAGTAGTGTACTTCACCGATAGCAGCTCACGTTACCATCGGAGGTATGCTGAAATTTTCTTTCCTATAAACTTATTATCAACTTACTCTCATGGTATTAGGGCAAAAATGGGGAAATGGGTAATAGGAAATATTAAATTGATTACGCAAGAAAGTCACTCTAAACACACCATTAGGAACTTATTTTTCCTATTAAATTTAGGATCCTAATATTACTCGTTAGATTAACTTTAAAGTAAAATTTAAAACAATTTGAACCGCGCAAAGGAAAAGTCATTTTGTTTATTTTTTGAAATTTAAATTGTAAGTTATTTTATCATATAATTAAAATATCTGTCACAATTAATTAGATGAATTGAATTAGAATTGATTAATGTTCAATACAAATATAAAACGACACAATTTGAAAGCGATATGACTCAAGAAATAGTGGTCCCTCCCTACACCATACTTGTATGGAGTCAGCATCTTTTCCCTTTAAACAAAGCCTTGTGGTGAAGAGCATGATGAGTTAGTTTCAATGGGTGACCACTTAAGATAAGAATATAGCATGTGAAGGATAAGAACGAAAGTCTTGGGAAGACAAATTGAGAAGAAGCCCGAGGGCTCATATGATGAGGATCACCTTCTTTGGACATTGAGAGAGATGATATCATGCTTTATCCATATGCTTTTATGGGTAAGCTTATGTACACACATCCAAGAAAATGAATATGATAACTTTGGTTGATCTAAAAGGTAACTTAAAGGATTGTTTCAACCCCATTGACACCAACTTTAGTATTTGTGGGTGAATGTACCCATGTTTTCTAACACTTGGTATTTATGAGTGGCAATGGTATGCTGATTTCATATGGCGTAAAAGTATAGATATTTTAGACTTCTAGTAAATATATCAAAACACAATCCATGTGATTTGTTTAATAAGTAGGATCGGGTAAAACGAATTGGACACTATTGATTTTCTCTCTCGATCAAGGGGATTGATTTCACATGTCCTCTTTTTTTGGGAATTCTATTGTGCCCATTTTTCGGGATTCTCTTTAATCATTTATGGGTGTTTTTTCCTCTGCTACGGATGCACAGTTTGAAATTATAATAGTTGATTGATCATTATAATCGAAATCTACTAAGGAATGTGAAAAACAAGTTAGTTGATAATATCCCTCCTGCATTTCATATGCAAATTTAATGAGAAATGCTAAATGCAATTTTGGTAGGAACCACATTCCTCTGATACTCAGTGGTGACAGTACTGGAAGGCTAATGAAATATGACCCTATTAGCAAGGAAGTAACAGTTCTTCTTGGCAATCTGTCATATCCAAATGGAGTATCATTGAGCAAAGATGGCCACTTCATTATTGTTGCAGAGACCACCAACTGCAGGATTTTGAAGCTCTGGCTAGAAACATCAAGAGCTGGGAATGTCGAAGTTTTCGCTCGAATCCCGGGATTTCCAGACAATATTAAGAGGAACAATGAGGGTGAGTTTTGGGTGGGAATTCATTCAAGAAGAGGAATAGTTTTGAATTGGATTCTTTCATATCCGTGGATTGGGAAGGGTTTGAATAGGCTTCCTATTGATATTTCCAAACTGTACTCATATTTAGTTAAGTTTACAGGGTCTGGGTTGGCAATGAGATTGAGCCAGGAAGGTGCTGTAATAGAAATGTTGGAGGATAAAAGGGGGAAGAAATGGAAGTTCATTAGTGAAGTAGAAGAGAGAAATGGAAATTTATGGATCGGGTCAGTAAGCATGCCTTTTGCGGTCATCCAGTCCAACAAGCTTTAAGTTATCGGAGAGTGTAATTTAAATATATTTATATTTTTGGCACTTGAAATTTTTTTAATAAAGAGGGTGGCAGTGAAATTTGAACACAAGACATCCTTATCTGATATTATGTTAAACAATTATCTACTCCAACAATTTAAGCAATTAGAAAGGGTGTAATTTAAGTATTTTATACTTCAACACTTGACCATAGATTAAATTTGAAAACTCTAATCCAATTAGCCAATAAATTTATTTTTTACAGTAAAACATTCATAGTTGTTAACAATCGAAAATCTATTTAAAAATTCGATCTGACCCAATAAATATAATTAGAACGTATTTTTAATAAATTGCATCGTAAATTAAACTCAAATTCGAGGACCAAAAATAAAATGTTAACAACTGTGATTATAAATTTGCATATAATGCTTTCAAATTTCATCTTCTACACCCCTATTGACAAAGAGTGGTTTTGAGAATTGAATTAATTTATTTTTCCTTTTGTACATATATACCTAAATTTAGTGAAATAAAGGAAAATGTTGTAGAACTAAAAAAAGATTCATTTTGTTCATTTGTTTATTTATCATTGGATCCCCTGTTTGGTTGGAACCTGATTTTTGCCTTTATACTAATATTTACTTGCTAATCTGGCCCGACTCAATTCCATCCCCTGTTTGGTTGGAACCTGATTTTTGCCCCCTTGCAAAGTGCAGCCTTCTTTTTCTTTTTAATTTATTTTTTAATAATTAGTTATGATCGAATTAATTTATATACACCTCAATTAATCTCAGTTAAAAGTAAATCATCCACCCCAAGATTAGAATATTTATAAAAAATAAATATTTCATAATTTAAAAATTATAAAAAATTAAATTTAAAACTTCTAAATTTATAACCCATTTTTGTCGTCGATCCCCAGCCTCCGAGAAAGTGGCATCAATGTCCATAAAATAAGGAAGAGCGGATGAGGTCCACATGTCTGGCTTCAAGCTTTACTAGTGGGCCCCGCTTATCACCATACCCAAACGGCATAAATTCAAAGAGCGTTGGTCCCCGCAAGACCCTGTGACCTCGTGGTCCCAACTTCCAATCCCAATTCAGGCCCACAATTGCACCAAATGGGCCAACACGACACTTCCTCCACAAAATAGGAATACTATGTACCCCCAATTGTTCTAAGCCTCATATTAATCATGTGGCTCTAATTCTTTGACTCATTCAGCATTTTAACGAGGGTCACACATTAACAATTTTCTTTTTTCTTTTCAACTTGAAATTAAAATATTTCCTTTCCATTAATTCTGATAAACATCAAGAAAAAACAAAGGTAATTTAATTTTTTTTATCTTTTAAATTTGTTTTTTATTTTCAATACCCTTAGTATTTGGAACTGTTTATAAATCATAGTTACCCGAAAAAAGAAGAGACTTTCTAAGCTATGCTTCCAAGGATTTGCACAATGTGATAAGTTGACCACTCTTCGGTATGTTGTTGTGGATGTGGCGGTACCGGTGGCATTATTGGTGGTAAAAAGAAATATTAGAAGAAGATACAGGTTGGGTCGAGCTTATTTAATTGGTTGAGGTTGTTTGAAATTTTTTTTCATACATAATTTTTAGTTAAAATTTCAATTGGATCTCGTTTCGTACTTAAAATGTTACGGGGTGATTAGAGATAGTTCAAATATATAACGAAATGTCATTGAAATTTTATAACATATATAAATTAATGTAGTATGTATGGATACTACAACGTTGGACAGAGATGGGCTTGGATCATATGGTGAATAACTTTGTTATTCATGGAGGTACAAATCATTATGCATAATTTTACAGTGATTGATTAAAATAAAAACAATCTCTCTTGTCAATTGTCTCAGTGAGTCCAAATGCGTCCAACAAAAGAAATTTCTTGACTCAGTAGAAATATAATACACCTAGATCTACACAATCTTATAGTAAAAAATTCTGAACTTTATTATAAAATACTCTGAATTCCATTAACTTTTCCTAGTCTTATGCTCCAAGTCCAACCTTTTTCTGCTATCTAGTACTAGTAGGACGACAACTCTTCATTAATTATTAAAAAAATATTTCTTTCTTTAAAATAAGTTAGTGGGAAAATCTTACAAATACCTTCAACCATGACTTTTATTTTAAATTTCCAATGATTTTTTTTAATTATTCTAATTTGATCCTTAAATTATGTAATTTATTTCAATTGATCTCTTCTCAAGGTTGATAGTCGAATCAAACTACTCGAGTTCGACTTGTTTTGAACTCATTAAAACTCGACTCGAATTCGACAAACTCAACTCGTTTATACGTAAATAATCGGGCTTGGTTTGGATTTAACTCGTTTTTTAAACGAGTCAAACTTAAATAAATTTTTTGAATTGTTTAACAAAATGATCTCGACAGACTCTCGATAACCTTATCTCTTCCATTAAGATTTAAACATTAAATAAGATAGATCCTAAGAATATTTAGTTAACCCGACTCTTGATTTAAATAAATTAACAGTTAATCTTAACAAAATTTATTTCATTTCACATTTAGTGTTAACGCAATAGATTGAAGCAAATTATATGAAAGTTCATGGGTAATTTAAAACAAAAGTCATACTTTCGTGGGGCATTTTATGAGATTTAGCCTAACTTATTATTTATATGTATGGAGGCTCAATCATATGAGGCCATAGTTGTCCCTCGGTTTCACCGATAGGATTATCGATAGTAGTAATAATAATATCGATGCCGAATTTGGTTTTTTTTAGTACCACATAATTTCCCTAACCGGAGAACCACTAGAAGCAAGTGTAAGAGAGGGACTAGTGGTTCAGGACTGCGTACTGAATCAGAGAGGCCCGCGAATTATGGGTCCCACCAGATGATGTGGGTATTTTGCATGGACCTACATGAGGCTGAGGCTGAGGCTGAGGCTGAATGGATTTTTCAGACACGGATTCTGACGACCTTATCCAACTGCCACGTCAATACTTTCGTCTGCCTCCATTCACAGCTATTCTACGAGTCTCGTTCACATCTTTTACTCTTAACGTAATAGACAAAGCTTTGTGCTTTATTACAATCACCACCTTTTATATGCAATTTCCTTGTTATGGGGGAGATTAGGGTACTAAATTTGGTTAATATATCACAAATGAAAGATAATAATAAGATTTAATTTGGTAAAATAAGGATAAAATAGGATCATTTGGTATAGATCCTAATCCCAAATCCAAATTCAAATGTAACTTTACTAGATTGAGTTATACCATCAATTTTTTTTAATAACTTTGAGTTTATGTATCAAACTCGCATGAGATAAATTATAAATTTGATCATTCAAATGTGTTGTAACATGATTTTTTTTATTAAAAGTCAATTTTTTGGTATTGATGAAAAAATTAATAAATAAGTTACAATATAACACTTTTAATATATTAAAATTTTAATATAAAAATTAACTTTTAAAATTGTAAAATAATTTTTTTTTTTAAAAAAATTAAGGTATAAAATTTTTTTTTTTTTTTTTTTTTTTAAGGACGAGAGGGGTTTGAACCCTTGCCCTTATAAAAATGGAAAGCATTCGCAAGATATAAGGAGTACGTTAGACCAAAAGCCAATTCGCTCAAAAGGGTATATATAGGATACTAATCCGAAAAAATTACAAATGCAATTCATGGTATGATCGTATTCTGAGAACAAAGATGTCTCTAATGGCAACAAGAACAAAGATCACTCGGGTTCTGAGTTCTCTCAACCACAAAACACAGATTTTGACTTCTGGGTCATGCTCTAATGGGGTTGTACCTAGTATTCGGGTGGACCAATGTGGAAGTTTCGGGTGTTTCTCGTCCTCTGCCTCCGCAGCTCCTTTGGAGTCGGAGGCATTGGGTTCGAGATTGTTTGGTTTGAAGGACTATGAGGACTATAGGAGGGCTCTTTATGGTGGATTGACTCATAAAGCTTTGTTGGTTGATGCTGCTGGAACCCTTGTTGCTCCTTCTCAGCCCATGGCTCAGGTTGGTTGGCTTGTCAACCCCCCTCCCCCCCAAACCCCAAAAACAACAAAAATGGGTTTCTTTTGGGGGCAATACCCAAATTTCCGTTGTCTCTCTTTCTCTTTTGTTCTCTGATCTCCTTCTCTGTGTATAATTTGAGTGTTTCTTTGAGAGCCCTTCCAATTTTTTTTTTCCATCTTCTGTGTAATTCTCAATACCCATTCTGTGTGTGTGTGTGTGTGTGTGTGTGTGGTTCTTTACTTATTCAAGAAATGGGTTTTGTTCTTTGGACTTGTTATTGTTTGTTGGTATTTAAGTTTCTTGTCCTGCTTGTGGTGTCATCATTTTTGGGATGTTGTTTTGGTGGTGCAGATTTACAGGCAGATTGGTGAGAACTATGGGGTGGATTACTCTGAGGATGAGATACTAATCAGATACAGAAGGGCATATGAGCAGCCTTGGGGTAGATCTCCTCGCAGGTGACTTTTCTTCTTTCCCTTTTGATCATACATATGCATTCCTGTTATTTCTGAACCAGTAAAGTAAATTTTATTTCCTTATTTAGGTTCTATACCATAATTATGAGTTTTTGATCCACACAGTAAATAATACAGGAAATTATTTTTATTACAGTAATTATGAGTTAAATAATAATTAAGTACTTCCAAAGTGCCACCGATTTTGTTCATGGCCTCTTACTATACTTTGGTTCTTATGAAAATATCAAGACGCAGTTCCATTTCGGTCTACTTATTGGCAGTGACATACACACATAGTTCCAGTTATCCAAGTTCATGAAGCCCAAAAAAAAAAAAAAATCTTCATTGTTTTATGTGTGGTAGCCTTACCTGCATAGCTTACAGAAATGGATTTAGGACAACAGACATACTTACAAAGAAAATTATGGAATAGGCGTCGGTCGACAGAAATGAAATCGGAGGAAAATATATTCCCGTATGCATTTAAATGATTAAACTTTCATGCAAATAATATTTGTGTGCTTTAAATACTTTTTTATCAATCATCTTCATTTGAACAGTCTTTCATATCCGTGAATCATCACCACCATTTCCAGTTTGTTTTGGTAGTTATGGTTGATGACTTGACTTCCATCTTACAGAAGGAACTTGCATATATACACAGCATACTGAAATTGGATTTCATCTCCTTGTGGTATCTAATCGCTAATAAGCGACAAGTGAATTAATTGCTTCATTTATTTTCATCAGGCTTGCGTGTTAAATTGATAACTTCTTACATGCGTATAGGATCTGGGATCCAGAATCTTTATATTTGTCCTCTGTCTCTTCTTATTTCTGACCTGTCCAACAATGGAGTTTGTGCATCTCTGTAATCTTTTAATATCTGAAAATGCCATCTTTTCTCATTCCTCTTGTTTTGATGGTGATGTATTTTCCATTTCTATATATTCTGCAAAAGTTCATTTCCTCCTGATTGGCAATATAGGCCTTTTCTGAAGATAAGTTGAATTAAATTGCAGATATGTTAATGATGCGAGACCATTCTGGCAATATATAGTCAGTTCTTCAACTGGATGTTCAGACTCTCAGTACATTGAGGAGCTATATAACTATTACACCACCGAAAAGGTTGGGGTTGTTTAATGAATTAATCTCTTGGCATATTTAAAGTAAATTTCTTAGTACTGAAGTAAAACTGGTTTCTCTTTTGGTATGAAAAGCAAGATAGATCCTTACAAAATGTTAGCCAAATAGTATCTTATATTCCTATATTTTGTTGAATATATTGAGTGCAGTTTTATTTATTTTATTTGTAAATTGCTTGTATCCAAAGGCGTGGCACCTCTGTGATCCGGATGCTGAGAAGGTATTCAAGGCTCTAAGAAATGGAGGTGTAAAGTTGGCTGTTGTGTCAAACTTTGACACTCGTTTAAGACCTATTCTACGGGCTCTGAATTGTGATCACTGGTTTGATGCTGTGGCAGTGTCAGCTGAAGTAAGTAAATGGTTTCCTTTTCTTCTTTTACTGTTTCAGACATTTTTGTGATTTTAATATCTTCTTTTTTCTCTGTCCCTCGAACAGGTTGCTGCGGAGAAGCCGAATCCCACAATATTTATAAAAGCTTGTGAGTTACTGGGAGTAAAACCTGAGGATGCTGTTCATGTAGGAGATGACCGGAGAAATGATATATGGGGAGCCCGAGCTGCAGGTTGTGATGCTTGGCTTTGGGGAAGTGATGTTCAGTCCTTCAAGGAGGTATTTACTTACCATGCATACTGCTGAACATAAACTGCATTTTCATAGTCAATGACTCAAGACTTTGTAAATAGGGATTATGATGGCTGCTATAGATTATAGAACTTTTTATCTTGTAATGGCTTTGCCTTCTTGAGGTCTAGGGTTCACCTTCCCCACTCCCTCCCCATCCCCTCCAAAAAGAAAAAAGTTTCAAAGTCGGGTTTTTCATGCTCCATTTGTAGGGAAACAACCTGTCAAAACTTCTCATGGATTAACTTTGTTTGTGTAGTCCTGGATTATCCCTGGATGACACTGACACACGAAAATTGAAGAATAGAATTATGGTGCAAATAATTTGATACAGTGACTGACTAATGATTCAATGGGAAATCACAGCAGTTTCAAGGAATGTTGGAAATATCTGTAGGGTGTTTGTCTGTATCATGTTTCCATTAGCTTTACGATAAACATAAGCGATACAAAAGGCAGGATTTAAGCAATGGTGAAAACTCTTCTTAGGAATCCGTTTTGTGAATAAACACTCCGAGTATGATTTACTGATGCAAGAATCATGGCAGCCCAATATGTTTGCCCCACGACGTTTGTTTGAAACTGGTAGTGAATCTTTAGGGTATTTGTTGTGAAGCACAATGTGGAGCAACTGAGGGTTTTTCCCCATTTTTCCCCAGGGTTCATCTACTAGTACAGACATCGGACACAATTATCATTCTGCCACTCATGTTTCACTCATGGCTTGACTACGTATGCTAATTGCGAAAGTTTGGACACTTGACTAAGTTCATGTCTAACCTTTAGACCGTCGAAAGGATATGCACTGCTTTGATGTGGTCAATAACCAACTTGTTGCCTTTTGTGGATGCAGGTTGCTCAAATGATCGGAATCCAGATTTGAATAAAAGAATCCTGTGCAACAAGTGGAAGGATGCTTTTCATTGGATGAATGCTTTCCATGCTGTACCTCCTCATCTTGGGTTGTATATATTCTGCACTTTTGTAAATTATGTGTGTGTGTGTGTGTGTGAGAAAGAGAGAGAGAGAGAGAGAGCAGAGTTGTGAGGATTCAAGTTAGAATAAGAGGCAGCAGTATGAGGATCTTATTAGCAGGCTCAATGAGTTTTCCTTTTGCCAAATCTTACCTGCTTTGAATGATTTTTACTCATTTGATTGGTGGGTTCACTCCAAAATGGCAACAATATGTGGGAGGAAAAAATAAAACTGGATGGTTGACAAATCTTTCATTCTCAGCAGCTTTAATCACATGTAACCATTGTGTGGGGCTGCTGGCTGAGACCCCTAGATTTTCATTCGACGGGGCTGAGACCCCTAGCAGCCCATTGAGTCCTGGCACGTGTATCCATCCTTGAGTGACGTGTGGTATCATAAAAAATGGGGATAATTAGACGAGCAATGGTATACTTTCTAAGGAGGGATATCCAAAGAACGGCTCATCTACCTAGTTAATGATTGGGACACCAAGCTATCAATTATAGGGTTGCAATTTGATGGGTTGGGTGGGTTGAGAGTTAACACAAGCTCAACCAAGCATATGAAACTTTCAACTCAAAATTAACCCGAGTAATTTTAACCCAAGTCAAAACCGTGATTAAGTTTTTGTGCTCGGGTTATCCATTTTTTTCATTAACCAAAATCAAATTGATTAAAGAATGGGGTTCATTTTTTTATTCAGCCCAAAAATTAAAACTAAATTCTATAAATTAGACATTAATCATAACTAATAAGATTCAAATATCAGTGATTGAGGAATGTGACAGAAATGTCCTAACATTTGTTAAATATACGTGTATGTGTAATTTTTTTTGTCTTCAAATTTTAGATTTGAATTCTAGTTGATTTTAATTTCTCAAATTCAAATTGGGTTCAAGTTCTACCTATCAAGCCAAAGTTTTAATCTAAGTATTGTCCAAATAACTTAGGTTAGATTTTTGTGAAAATTGGAAGTGAGTTCCCTTAGACGTACTTGTTTAGAGATAAGTCCAGCAAGGAACTTATAAGGGGTTAAGTTTATATTTAAAATCGTATGTAATGACTTAAGTCTAATTTTTTTTTTATCTCAAAAATACTATTATTTGAAAGAAAGTTAATCTTTTATCTCTCATATCTATCTATTTATATAATAGAGTAGAACGAAGTTTAAATTTTAGAGATAAAGAGAGGTACAGATCGTTTTGAGATAAAACATAAACATATCTAACGAACAATGTAATCTCAACATAAATGACGATTCAGATCATCTCAAAAATTATGATCTAACGGTCAACAAAAAGTCCTTTATTTTTCTTTCCCGCCCAACACAAACCCTTGTTTCACGCCTCTCCTATCTCTTATATAACTCTCTCTTTTTTATCTCTTAGACATTTTAAACACACTATTTTCATCTCCTCTCTCTCTTCTTATCTCATACTAACTGATACAATTCTCTCTCTCTCTCTCTCTATTTCATACTCTCTCTATTATCTCTTACACGTTTTAAACACACATTATTCCATCTTTCATAAAACTCTCTTTATATATATATATATATATAACAAATATAATAACAAGGATTATTTCTAATAAATTAAAAGTTCATTAGCATATGTCATCTGGAGCGGAGCCAAGAATTTTATTTAGGGTGGGCACTTTAATTATGCACTCTAATTTTTTTTCTCTTAATCAATAACACTGTATAATATATTTATATTTATTATATCATATATGATACATGAAATCCATTTAACATAAAAAGGCCAAAAAATAATATATATTATATATGTTTCAAAAATTGACTAATTATCACCAATGTAAAAAGTGAAGCTAATTTTCATTTTTATAATTAAAAAATATCAATTATTCACTAACAATCTATTAAATTTATTCAATAAATGATGTTTTAAACATTATTATTAAAATATTAGTATAATAAAACTATTAAACTAAAATCTAAGAGACATAGTAAAAAAATTAAAAATTAATTGGCACATAATAAAGACTGCAATCAATATTCAAATAAAAATAAAAGATAATTTTTTGTAAAAAAAATAAAATCAAATGAAGATCAATTGAAAGAACTTTCGCTTGTAAAAATTCATAATAAAATGAAGGTCATCTGAAGAAAATTAGATTATTTTAATAAAAAAGACTAAATAATTAAAATAAGAAAATTATAGAGTGAGTACAAATAAAAAATAAGTGTATCACCTTTAGAATTTATAAATACAAATATATATATATATATCATATTTAAAAAAAAAATTGAGGATGGGCCCGTGTCCACCCTTGCCCTTGTGTAACTCTGCCCATGTATGTCATCTTATATCTATCTATCTATCTATATCTATATGATCCTAATTGGATTTTTATTTATTTTACATCTCTTTGTCTTTCACTCACTCTCATCTCTTATATAACTCTATTTTCTGAGAGTTTGACTTGGATGACTATATATATATCTATATCTAAAAATAACATAATACATCTAATATCCATTAATACCCTAATCTCTCTCTATGTATCACATTCTCATATCTCATAAGTTTATCACATATTTCATATAACTCTCTTTCTCTCTATATAACCACCAACACACACATGTCAATATCAACTCCTAAAAAAAAAGATATTTTTTAGGTATAATGATTAAATATATAAATTGTGTACGTGTTGATATTTTTTAAGGGTCGTGTTTTTAGAGAAGTTTTGTCAAATTTTTTTTAAAAATAGTGTTTTCAAATTAAATTTGAATTGTGTAACTAAAGAAAATAATAAAAAAATAAAGTATTATTTGAAATATTTAAATTGTATAACCGGTTATCGAGATTTTTTAGTTGCTTAGTGCCTTCAGGCACAGGTTATTACTAGTATTCATATATAGGTTAAGAGTTTGACTAACATTAAAATTTTTCTTCTCTCTTATCTATCTATATTCATCTGTAGGTTAGGTGTATATATATGTATATATATAGTAACATTAAAACAAAATAATAACATTTAAATACAAAAAAAAAGTTACTATGAATTTGAATAGTAAAATTCAAATTCATATTACTTTTTTTTTTATTATGTTACTGTTTTTATTGAGTATGTTATTGTATATGTACTATTATTTTTGAGCATGTTATTGTTTTTGTTGACCATGTTACTAATATTATTTTCCTAAATATTAATGTTTAATGTTACTATTTTTTTTTAATATTATTATTTTTTGTATTTAAATGATACTATTTTTTGCGTTTGAATTTCGAAGAAATAATTATTGTTAAGTATGTTACAGTATTTTTTAAGTATGTTACTATTTTTGTTGAACATGTTAATATTTTTGTTGAACATGTTACTTTTGTTATTTTTTAAAAATATTAATATTGAATGCTTCAATTTTTTTATGTTTAAATGTTACTAGTTTTTGGTGTTTAATTGTATTATTTTTTTTATCCAAATGATAACTTTTTTTTGCATTTGAATGTTACTATTTTTTACGTTAATGTTACTATATACACACACACACACACATACACATATAACCTATATATAGATAGATAAGAGAGAGATCAATTTTTAATGTTAGTTAAAACTCTTAACTTATATATGGATATAGATAGATAAGAGAGAGAAAAATATTTTAATATTAGTCAAACTTCTAAAATTTAGAAAATTTTAATTTTTAGTTTTATTTCACTTCTAAATGGAATAGATAGTATAGTAAAATTAACAAAAAACGGACTTCATAACAAATAAGTTTGTGCGACAGATTGAAGTCCAAACAATTTTATATAGGAGGACCGGCCTCCAAATTTTCCTAGATTTTTTTTTGTTAAAGCCTAACTCAAGTATTGAAGGTCTCGACCTACGTTCGGTTTAGTCTGCCCAATACCCTTATAACCAAGGGACTAAAGTGGAAACTGTAGAGTTTTTGAGGGGTATGCAAACTAAATATGCTTTTTACGACTCAAACGTTTAAAATATTTAAGATACTTTCACACTTCATAAAAAAAAAAATTTAGAGCAAGTACTTACGCAAGGGTGCAACTTAGGTGGGTTGGACAGTCAACTTTAGCCAAACCTTGGATATATAATATTCAACCCTAACCTTAATCTTAACCTTACCTTGAGTTGAGGGACTCAACCTGAGCATTCCCGGAGTTTAATTCGGGCGGGCTCGGTTTGAATTTGGATTAATGATTTTGGACTACTCTATGGATTCAATTCGGGTTGAGCCCAAAATATACTTGTTGTTCTAAAACTGATACATATATTATATAATATTCACCTAAATTAACAACCAAAAACTTCAATCAACTTTTTAACATAAAAACTATAATATTAAGAACTCAATATTTTAGATAATGCAACCACAACAATATAGAACATAAATAAACACAACTAGAATTCATGTATAAACATAGAGTTCACTGCTTAAATAGTGAGTGAGGAAGGCGTACAATAAAGACTTCAGAACAGATTAATCCTAGACTTAAAAATGTATTTATATGGTTATGTATATTCGGGTTCAACTCGGTAACCCGAGGGCCGCCCAAATTGAATTCGGATTGGAGTTTTTTTACCTAAACTCAACTTAAGTATTAAAAAACCTAGTCCAATCCCTAATTTTTTTTGGTTGGGTTCGGATTGAAATCTGGTTGGCCCGCCTAAGTTGCACCCCTATACTTACGTAGGTTGCTTCATTACAATGTATTTTCTTTGGTCACTTGATTACAATGTTTGGGTGTATAATATAAATTGTGACAGTTATGCGAGCTCTGTATGAGATAGGTGAGCTATGAACAGAGTAACAGTAAACAACAACACAATGAAATAAATGGTTCAACAAGATGAAGAGCTAGTGTAGTCCGCTGTAATGAAAACAAGTACTTTTCTAATTTGTATTATTTGGAGAAAAAACAATTACATTTTGATAATGTAATTGCACATATTGTTTGGCAAGGCAAAAGCTCACATTTTTATACATTAGGGTAGTGTGGTCCTTGAACAATAATGGTATGGTCCTCTAGTTTGTTAGAATATTTGAAAAAAGATATGGGCGTTAGATACTCTCTTCTTTAAGTATGACGTGACATTTTAGAAATAGTGCCTGCTTATTCAAGGTAGAATTTTATA